TGGAGAGAAAGTTCTTCTGAGCCCTGTCTATGGCTGGAAAACAGGATCAGAACATGTAATAAATAATATGTTGTTCACTTTTACTCTTACTTATAGAGCCTTAAAAGGTTGTGGTAGAATAAATTCCCCACTGTCTCTGCGCTGTGTGATTTACTGAGTAAAATTTGCAGTATTTTCTGTACAGCTGTCAGTGCACCGGTGGATAGTTGAATAATGAAAACGACGCTGTAACAGTAGAAAACACCCTGTTTTTTTAATTTGTAAAGCACATGGACATGGCTTTGGAAATCACTTACAGTCTGAAGTGTCTCCTGCACTGAACACTGTTAGCACACAAGTCACCATAAATCTGCACCAGAAGAAGCTCATGAATGCAGTAACGTTTATTAAAACGACAGGTGAAGGATTTTTCAAAAGATGTTGGGTTACTCAGTAGTGTATTATTAAACATATGGTTTTATTAAATATTTTTATTATTAGATCAAAAGAGTAAAGATAGATAAAAAGTATACACATATACAAAAGAAAGCAAGTAAGAATGTTGTGCTAAATATTTTTAGGTATCTTCCAGGCCTGTTCCACACCTCTGATCATAGCAGTGGTACTTATAAAGTGAAGATACCTGAAAATACCCTGATCATGCATAGATTTTTCTACTAGTGTCTCTTACAGTAAGAAACAGAGGCTGGTGGACACATGTTTTATGCATTATTAAGCATAAAACCAATAGTGACAGCCTTACATCAGTGATATCCTGTTATTGTTAAGGTAAAGCTGAGAGTGGCTGCATGAGCGAAGGTGCTCGCACTTAGTTATAGCAGAATATAGATACAGGGAGCTGCACAATGAAGAATTGCTTAGCCGAGCAGCTAATCAGCAGTTCACTTAACTACCTCATACGTTTGTCATCATTACATGGTTGTTAGCTTACTGTGCCACATTTGAAGTGTTGGCTTGTGAGAAAAAGCTTGTTATCTGAAACAGATCTTTTAATTATTTTGCTAATAAAGTAAAAATATATCACTTATTTCAGAATGTGTGAGAAAGTAAAGAGCTGTCAGGTTTACAAATATCCAAACATATTTTTAAACTCTAATTAAAACCAAAATAGATTATTGTTTCTTTTATTTAAGGCACATTTTTCCTTGTGTTTTAAAATAGTGCGTGATAATGTTTCTAACGTCTGGCCTGAAATATGCTGGCAGTCACAGAAGATTTAGCTTGTAACATTTGAATGGGTTTTTTCTACGTTCAATTTTTTTTCCAGTGAAATTGCTAAAATTTTTCAAATTTGACTGACAACCCTATTTCTTACAATGTGTAATAAAAATGTGTTGCATTTCACTTTACTTTAGATTGGCACCCATCAGTGGTTTATGCTGGAAATTTCTTTCTATGAAGATACTTAGTTATCAAGAATTTGCCAGTTAGCAAGACCTGACAGTGACTAATGGATTGGCTAGATATCATCACTGTAGTTCAACTGAAGACCTTTTGTCTAGAACCTAGTCATTGCAGTTTTTAACGATTTATCATGTCTGTGGATGTTTTTTTGGGGAGAAGAGGATTGTGAAACAGTAAAGGGGAAATTACATCATATGCTGTATAATTTTGTGGTGAAATCATGGGATTCAGAGTCTTTACGTGTTTTTTTCGCTGTGTTGAATTCTTCTGACAATTTAGCACTACCAGAACTAAGCTTGGACTAAAATTCTAAGGACACTTCTGAACATGTGAGCTCCTGTAAACTTGCTTTATATATAATGGACATTTTCACAAGCAAAGGCACAAATCATTTCGTATTTTCAGCAGGTGCTCTTTGATAGCAGGTGGTTTGGGCCCGAAAATTGATCAGAGTTTGTTGATTGCAGCAGTCTGTATCAACGCATTGTTGCCCTGTAATCTGTAGCAGTGGGAGAGTTAACTGGGCCGATGGTGCCACACGATTTTCGATAATAAAATGATGATGACAGTTATTTTGAGTGGTGTCGCGATTGTGATTAGCAGTGATTCATCCGTTTCAATACATAGTCACAGCGCGCTCCACGGTGTTGGAGGCCTGGCTGAGGGCTGTAGGCAGCAGAAGGCAGCAGAGTGAGCACTGATGCGTGGCTGGCTGTGGCTCAGGCCCTGTGGGAGTGACAGCGCAGTTAGTGTTGTGGCTGCAGCTTCTGGGTGTCTCCTCCGCACTTCCTCTCTCTCACTCAGAGACTCAGCAGGAGAACATGCTGTTCTGCACAAACAGTCAGCTCAGCCACAATGGCCAACTATGCTTTCTTTTGCCGAAAGGAGAACTTCAGTCTGTGTCTTTACATGTTCAGTACAGTCATGAACAGTTTTTTATTGATGATTTAATGTTCGAGTATCAGGAGAGAGAAATTTGTTTCTGTCCTCTTTTGGCTTGTTAATTGTAAGGGTGTAACTGTTTCAATACAGTATTGTACAAATGGTGTCTTTTGAGATCTGATATCTTTTTATGGAAACCACAAATCATGAAAAAGCTGAAACAGTTAATGACAGGTGATGCTTAGTGCCAGACTTTTGAATTTTGCACATATTTTAATTGTGCTTTGAACACGTTTAGGTCAATTTTGACAGTTGAAAGTGGGCATTTTTTAGGTTTGTATGAGACATTTCTGTATTATTTCTTGTTCAGTTGCACTGTTTTATAATGGCACAATATTGCATAAGAGTTTGCTTATTTAAAATCTTTCGTTTGAAATGCTTTGTATTTGTCTGGGCCAAACCAATCTATGTAATATGTAATTAGAGCTCAGAGAGTCAGGCAGTCTTTACATGCTTAGTTGTTTGGTCCTTTAACTTTGCATATTGTCTCTGTTAAACAACCAGTAGGTCTGTGCATTTATTTAGGTCGTTGTTAGAATCATTTGAATTGAGTGTCTGATCTCATAATTTACCAGTCTCAGAGGTTGCTTGTGGAGGGCTGGCAAAGTATGTAGAATAACATGGAAAACATGAACTGATTTAAGGTCCTAGCTGTGCCTTGTGCCATTTCAAGTTACAGTTCATCCCAGTCTCACTGGGCGAGAGAGAGATGGCAGCAGTCTTTTTTTCCCCGTCCCTATATTCTGTGCCAGCCAAGCAGGCATGGCTGCGTCCATCATGTGGTGAGTCAGTTGCTTAGTGTGCCACTCATATGGCTGAGGCACTTCACACTGCTGTGTGGTTTGAAAAGACACTATGGCAGGCATTATTCACAAGAATAGAAGGCTTTCCAGATTGGTGGTGGTGTTGTACTAAAAGAAAGTGCAACAAAAAATATAATTGCAAAAATGCACCATGAATGTGCCAGTACCCTTTCTGCTCTTAGTGGGAAATGCAGTAGTCGGTTGTGCCTAGTGCTCAGCAAGAATGTCGTTAGTATGGATTAGGGATGTACGCTCTGACTAATTTTGATATTCAAGCATGATACTTAAGAAAAAATGGGACTTCACTTGAGAATAACATATTGTAGGATTTAGTCGTAGTACAAACATGGTAAGCTGCTAGCAGGCTAAAAAATCAGCAGCAATTTAGCAGCATACAGACATGTATGTTTAAGAATATTTAAGGGAAATCTTTCAGTCACTCCAGGTTACATCTGTAGATTTTAATGACAGCTAAGTTTTGAGTCACAGCCTTTTCGGATGAGCTAATGACCAAACACTAACAACAGATCTAACCAGTAAGGGTGTACCAGTTTCAGTACAGTATCAAAAAAGAATGTTCAAAGCTGTGTAGCAAAAGTTAAAATTGTATCCAGTACATCCATGTGTCTCTTCTGTGGGTGTCATTCATGGGAACATCAAAACATGAAAGAAACGATGTAGAAGTTATATGTAATGCTTAGTGTCAGACTTTGAGGAAAATAAAATTAGACATAGTATGTTAGGTTTTATATGAGGCAGATAAGCTTTTTGTTTCGTTAATGGCTCAGTTGCATGTTTTATAAGATCACTGTTTTGCACAAGGACATGCAGATGTGTAATTTCTAAAAAATAATTTGTATTATTCTGAGCCAAATCAGTCTATGTAATACATTATTAGAGTATAATTATAGAATTAAGACATTTTAACACAAGAATTAGAAAGTAGAATCGGTCCTTAAAAATTGTATTGAATCTCAAAATGTGTCTAGCATGACACACCTTTACTAATAAGTAATAAGTAATGATTAAAATAATAATTAATATTATTATTAATACTACTAATACCGTTAGTAGTATTAATAATAATACTACTAATCGGTAGTGAGAATATTGGTGAAAACTCATTGTCTTCTACACAGTCTTTTTCCTGGTCAGTGAAACATATGACAGCAGCCCTTTGTCATGTACTGTTGAAGTAACACTGAACAGAAAAATATCTTCTCATTGTTTCTAGACCTAATTAATGTCAGTCAGAGTAGTTAGCCTTGTTACAGTTGCGCTACCACTGCCTTCTTATTGTGCTCATGTTATGACACTCCTGTTTAATTTTAACGGAGTATAGTATACTTACTTAATCGCAAATATGAACAAATCTGTCTCACTTCACAGTCCACCTAACAAACACTTAACAGGGTTTCACTTAATTGTTAGCCTTTATAGTTTATCAGTGACTTTCCCAAGTAACGATTTCAGTAATCGAACACTGGTGCCAGGAGTGGTTAACTGAGTGTTCAAGTATCCATGCACAGTTCCTAATACCGTCATACCAGTGTCAGCGTCGCACAGTGATATTGATTTTAGCAGTATTAATATGTAATGTAATCTAAAATTTTACTAAAATTCTGTTCCATATATTAGCAGTGTCCCCTCTGCCATACAGTTGTATTTGTGTATTTTTTATTTGTATTTATATTTTTGTGCACCAGACATTCTTTTAGTATGGAGCAGCAGTGCTCAGAAAAACATTAGTTCATTATCTTTGTTAATGCAACCAGAAAATGTTTAACATGAACTAATTAAAGAATCCATCATTTAACTTTATCTATATTCTCTTTGTTTGTGCGCTTGTAGGTGTGTATCTGTATGAGGCCATTGTCCTGCAGATGAGCTGTCGCTGGGGGCGGTTGCGTCGCAGACCCAGATAGTCCCTGGTGGCTGCGGCCCAGGCCCAGCCCCTACCCAGCATGCCCAACGTTGTTCGTGCGGGGAGCCTGAAGGACCCCGAAATCGCCGAACTCTTCTTCAAGGAGGACCCTGAAAAGCTCTTTGTTGACCTGAGAGAGATCGGCCATGGCAGCTTTGGCGCGGTGTATTTTGTAAGTCCCAATGCACAGCTCAAAAATAAGAAAATACTTTTCTCTGTAAGTTGTTTTGCGATTGTGCATAATCTAAAGCGTGGTATTGTATTCAGGAATGTTTGTTAAAATGTCAAAATCATGTTTTCTTACTGCTCATCGTGTTCTGCTCATAGGCACGAGATGTGCGCACCTCAGAAGTGGTGGCCATCAAGAAAATGTCCTATAGTGGGAAACAAACCAATGAGGTGGGTGGTTAAAGATTGCTGAGGTTCCTATGATTACTGTGATTCATTTCTCAGACAGATCCCTGATGATAGGCCTTGACTTTTACCATTACATCGCTGTCAGGTTTGTTGTCTGCCATTTGTAAAGTGAAAGTGCAGAACTATAACTGCAGATCTCCTCAGAGACAGAGCAAAAAGGCCATTTGATCATTCTCGAAAAGGGCTTTAACCACTTTCGAGCATGCTTTGAATGCAGTATTAGGTATTTTTAACAGTTTGACGAATTGAATTTGTGAAGCCTTTGTAAGCACTATGCTTATTTCATAGATTAATTTACGTATCATAGATTTTAGTATAAAAACAAAGATTCTTAGCCAAAACTGAAACCAAAATTCAGGACACACTAGGCAAAAACCCCAAAATTTGACAGTAAATAAAATAGCATACATAAAACAAACTTGTGTAATATAAATTAAAAAATTTCTACATTGCACAAAAACAGTGACTACAGAAGACGTCCTGCGGTTTTGCTGAATTCTGCCAATCGAGCGGGATGTTGGTTTTCATGTTGTATCAAAGCTGTAGTAGAGTGTTGTACCCCTTTTGATACATAGCATGAACAGAGATTGCAGATTACTTGTTTAATGTCTGTTGTAGAGACCATTAAGTAGACCCACACAGCCAACCTTTTTACTGTTTATCTGCTGTTATTCAAACTGTTTGAACACCACTGCACTAAACAGGAAACAAACAGTATTTTTAATCACCGTTTCTTATTTTCATTACCCTTTTATTCATTTTTTTTTATTGCTATTTATTTATTTGTTTGCAGGGAGAGGGCAAAATTTTGGGCATTTTTCTCTTTATGCTGAAAACTGAGCATGTCTTTTATTCTGGATGAAAGTTTAGTGCATCCCTAGCTTTTAGCTTTAGATTCAGGCTTACTGTTTAGAAGGAAATGGCACTTAAATGGTGACAGTTCAGTGACTGAAGTTTCTCCTGTTCCTGGTGTAGCAGGTTTACTCTCTGCATTAGCCTTTGATTTATAATTTTTTTTCCTCACAGAAATGGCAAGACATAATCAAGGAGGTGAAATTTCTACAAAGGATAAAGCACCCAAACAGCATTGAATATAAAGGATGCTACCTGAGAGAGCACACAGCTTGGGTTAGTGGCCCCGCCTACAAGTTTCATATATCTCTTTTAAAGCAACGTGTGGTATCTTAAATTGTCTGTATGATTATTAATGTTTAACAAGCTTTGGTGCGTGTACTGTACTTTTTCATGCTGCTATAGCTAATTCTGTTTCAAATCCGGTCATGTTGGTTATAAACATTTAAGGCTTTCGCATGTCTTTTCTCTCTATTTAGCTGGTAATGGAGTATTGTCTGGGCTCTGCTTCAGATGTCCTTGAGGGTAAGCTTTGAAGGTTTTTGTGCCTACTTAATGTGCGGATCGCTGCAAAGACATGCAAACTGCATACAGATCTCATAGCAACAAAGATGAGCTGAATTTATTTATTAGGCTTGTATGTTCAATTTGTATGGTCGATTTAGATGATGGCTTTCTTCTCAGAAAACTCCATTTAAATCTTTTATTTCCTCTTCTACAGTACACAAAAAGCCCTTACAAGAAATGGAGATAGCAGCCATTACCCACGGTGCTTTACAAGGACTGGCGTATCTTCACTCCCACAACATGATTCACAGGTGAGGCTGAGTGCTTTAAGTACAAACCATTTCTGGATTCTGGGAATGAATTGTGAACGTTGTGTATGTGTCAGCAGATCCCATTGTATTTTAGATGCAGTATTTGTATTTGTTATAACGCCCACTCTCTTCTAACTGCTCTGTATGACAGTTATGTTACACATCTATTTTGCTGGTCTTCTGGATATGTCATGAGCTGAGGTAAGACTGGTCTAGATGTACCAAAGATCTCATTTTGTGTAAGACCAGTCTCAACCTGATCCAAAATCAGGAATTGGAATATATCTGCATGCATCAAAAACAACAGAAAAAGCTTTTCTGCCCATACACAGTGCTCTTGTAGTGTTGTATGTGCTGAAAGCCCTTTGTTTTGTCCATTCTTACAGAGACATCAAGGCTGGGAATATCCTGCTGACCGAGCCTGGCCAGGTGAAACTGGCTGACTTTGGATCTGCTTCCATTGCTTCTCCTGCAAACTCTTTTGTGGGGACTCCATACTGGTGAGTGCCATTAGCCTAACACCTCACTCTGCATCACTCCTGCATATCCCACAGCATAGTGCTGCTTCTTTCTTTCGCAGTCTGACTCCAGAAACGTGGGCTAGCGTGATGTCTTTATCAAGTCCCTGAGACCTTCAGTCACTGCCCATTAGGGCTGCATGATATTGACATTAAATGAGATGTTTGATAAACAATATGAGAAAAATAATAAATTATGATTAAAACAGTGTGACTTTACCTAGATATCAACACATTTTGCACTGTAAGGATGAAAAACAATGTGCATTCCCTAAACAGCTTTTTCTATTAAGGCTGCAATTTTTTTTTTGTATCTTGTATAATCCTACAAAACCTTATATATATTCAGTTCTGTAAAAAGCACATTGTGGTGATACAGGTTTGCCATGAGTAGCCGTTGCTACTACTACAAACATTTAACTCACAGCTTGGAGTGAGAGAAGTCATCAATTTAAAGCAGTTTGACAGGCTAGTGGTTCAGGTTAGGGTAGTTTTCAAGCTGTATATGTGCATGTGTGTTTAATAAATGGTTGTTTAGCTGAATGGTTAGCTTAATTAGTTCAGAGAAGCACTTATTTGTTATACTGCTACGTTCTTGCCAATTTAATTAAGTCACTTTGACTGTCTAATAAAAGTTAGAATCAAGTTCCACAGTTAAGAAGCATAATAACCAAATGAGGTCTCTCCACTTTTTCTGTATTTTATGGAAAGTATTTGCAGAAGGCCAGTGTCTGCAGATCTAAAATCAAGTGTTGAAACATAGACAGACAGACAGACATTCTGTGATGTAAGCAGGTGCTAGGTCACTTAGATCCTTAAAAACTAGTAGCAGACCTTTATCAAATCTATCCCAAACAGTACATTTAATTAGTGCAGTTCTTTCAAAACAGGGTTGATAAGAGCTCTCTTTATTTTTGTTAGGATCTGAAATGCTGCATTTTGTGTGTAGGAGGATGTATTGTTTTCTCCATTAAAAAGAGCATTACAGTAATCAACTCAAATATCTGACACACAACTTGTAAGCCTTCATTTTCTGGTGAGTCTTGATTTTCAGGAGGAATGGAATCAGCATAACTTTGAAAATTGTTTTTTCCTAGTGACATCATCTAGAGGTAACATGTACAAAAAAAAAGCAAATCCCCTAAAACTGAACCTTGTGGGACTCCACAAGAAATGTACAATTTTTTTTTGATTAATGAATTCCCGGCAAAACCAAGAACTGTTATACTGAAATCATTATTCAGGTGTTGGTTATACTGCATCACTGAAAGTCATGAAGTAAACGTACCAACAATTCACTGAAAAACATTATGTTTTAACAGGGATGTAAAGTGCGATAGTTTTGCCTTATTTGCAATTAAGTAAGTATGTTATATTTACTACTGCAAAACATGAGTACCTTAATGTAAGTGCATTGTCAGGGGCTCATTGTTGAGAATGTGAGTGAGTAGGTAGTAGTAATGTTTGCTCATTGACTCATTGTCACTTAAGCCTTATCTGTCCAACCAGAGGATTTTTCATTCATTCATTCATTCATTCATTCATTCATTCCATTTTTTTTTTTTATTAGGAATCACATAATGGTACAACAGCAGTCATCATGGAGAAAATGATTCTTTCCGTTACAAAGATTTCATTAATAATATTCTACATCTAGTTGCCTGTCTTAAGCCATTTCTTTATTGCTTTTCTAGCAACAACACTCAGTATTCCAAATAAGTATTAAGTTTAAATATTTGTAGATTCTATTTGTAGAGTGTAGAACCCAAAAAGAAGTTGCCTCTAATTAAAAGTGATTTTTTTTTCCCGAATATAGTCACCAATTCTGTATGAATCTTACGCCAGAAAATATTTACTTCTGGACAGGCCCAAAAGAAATTATAGTGATTGGCTTCCTGGGAGCCACAATTCCTCCAGCAGCTGGAAGAACCTGAGTGGTAAGACTTTTGAACAGGTGTGATAAAGTATCTACTACGACTCTTCCAGCCAAACACTCTCCATCAAGCTGAACTTGATATCCTATGTATGATATTATGTAGATGGCTATTTTAACCTCCTGAATTCTCCTGTATATTCTTGAAATTACTTTAAGCCCCGAATCTGCTCTGTAGGCACAAATAAAAACGTTTAATAAATTGTTTTCAAATGCCATTTTGGCCCTCTTTCATAAAACTGTTTGTGATGAAGTACTTGCAAAAATCTAAAACAGTCACTATTGATGGTCTAGTCTTGGATGGCCCAGACTAGACCATCCCTTATAGCACATATCCAACTTATTTGGGGTCGTAAGCACACCATCTCAAAATCTTTATCTCTTTAAGCAGACCTCTCTTGGTGATGATATTTAGCCATAAAGATGTGTTGATCCACTTTTAACCTGTTTCTATTAAGTTTTAAATTAGTCTTCTATCCTCTTGCTGAGCCTGAATTGGAACTTTCCTGGATATTTTCTCCCCAATTTCATTCTGTCTTGCTTGATGTCAGATTTACAGCAACTAAACAAGTACCTCAATTGAGTTGTTATGTAATAATCCTTTAGGCAGAGGATTGCAAGTCCTCCCTTGTTCTTTGCCAGTGGAAGAGTTTGAAATCTTATCCTTGTTTTTCCCTTGCCAAATGTATCATGATATTAATTTATCTCATTTGTTGAATAGTTTGTTATTTCAGTTGAAGAAGGAAATATATCGTAGGCAAGACATTCATTTTTATTGCCTCGATTAGTGACTCAAAACTTAATATTGGAATTAAATTCCACCTCTTCATGGCCAATGTGTGTTTTTTAATAGTGAAAAGAAATATTTAAAGTAAAACATTTTTAAAAATACACCTCTGTTTGCTGCTAAATGTTAATTTGTGCTGTTGAGTTTTTTAAGTCTACTTGCAGCAGTGTACCAGTTTACCCTGTTTGTAAAATATGAGTAATATCTGCAATATGCTAATGTAAGCCAAAGCCTTTTGTCCTTGCCCGCACTTAACTGAATATCTGTTCATTAACTGTTATGGACACTCGAAAATCAACATGCATATCTCTACTGCATAGTCCAGCAGGGATATGCATTCTGCTGGATGAGTGTTTTGCAGATTTTGATGTGATTAACAAGTCAAATCTGTGATATCTAGCTTGGAAGGCATTTGTGTGGAGAGTTGCTGATTTGTTTGCTGTGATATGTGAGTCAAATGTACTGCTGTCTTCTATACCCTGTGTCTATCTCTTAGGATGGCCCCAGAAGTGATCTTGGCTATGGATGAGGGTCAGTACGATGGCAAAGTTGACATCTGGTCCCTGGGTATAACTTGTATTGAATTAGGTGAGTTTGTGTTTGTCTGATGCTATTTGCTTAAATTTTTAAAGCATTTACTTTTTTTCTGTGAATTCTCTCACTTTGGCATTTATTCAGTTGTGTCTACCTCTCTTCTCTGCAGCGGAGAGAAAACCTCCACTCTTCAACATGAACGCAATGAGTGCCTTATACCATATAGCACAGAACGAGAGCCCAACACTGCAGTCAAGTGAATGGTGAGTGTATTGCATATTGATTTTCTGCAGTTCAAACTGAGTGTATGCATGCTTTGGCCATGCATTATTTAGCTAGGTCTTCAGCTCTGTGTTGAATTGATGTATCAGTTGTTTAAAAATCACTGTATCTTCTCCCCTCAAGGACGGATTACTTCAGAAACTTTGTAGACTCCTGCCTTCAAAAACTGCCCCAGGACAGACCCACCTCTGAGGAACTGTTGCAGGTGAGCAAACTGAAATTTATGCTTTTTATTTTGAGACTCTTCCACAGTATATAGTCCACTAGAGTGCACGTTATAGATATCTTGTTCTTGTTTTATGCTTTGTAATACTGTAGTATGATTTCTTAAAGCATTTGCCAGTTATCATTGTTACTGTATTTGATAACACCTTTTAAATAAGAAGGATAAGTCAATCACTTCCTCTATTTGTAAAATCTTCTCTGCAGCATGCCTTTGTGCTGCGCGAGCGGGCCGAGTCTGTGCTGATGGACCTGATCCAGCGCACCAAAGATGCTGTGAGAGAGCTGGACAATCTGCAGTACCGCAAAATGAAGAAGATTCTATTCCCGGAGGCGCACAATGGGCCTGCAGCAGAGGCACCAGAGGAAGAAGAGGTTAGCCATCATAATTACTGTGTATGCTGACTCTCTCTGATTCTCTTCAGGTTGGCTTTAAAAAGTAAAGTTGTCATGCAACTTCAGTTGCTTGAAATTGAAATCAATTGATCCTGTAATTCATGTCGAATTTTTCTAACAGTCTACATTTGCAATCATTTTTGTGTTTTAAGAAAATAAAACAGAGGCCCTTAACATGACAGCTGTTTGAACTGTTTGAAAAAGCACAACCATTTGTTGTGCTTTTTAGTCTGATGTGTCACGCTCTACGTAGTTACAAAGGTGTACATTTAGGCTAAATAAAGACCTGCCAATATGCATTTTCAGGTACGCATTCTCAAAGTACGCTGGTACGATTTGTCACTCTAAACTACGCACGGTGACGCCTGTGAGTTCGCTTGTGCACATGCAGTACTCAAGTCTAACAGCAAGAGGCAGCAGCATCTAGCCCTCCAGAAAAGAAAAGAAGAGTTTGACCAATCATAGCGCCAACTTAATTCCCCCAAAGTACCAAGTGGGGATGACAAATGCGTAATGTCAGTCATTTCAAGAGACTGCAAATCAACAGCAACATGAAATAGAATTTATCCCTCTCGTTACTCTTCCTTAATCCATCTGTATGTATTGTTTTCTTCATGGCCAATTTATATGTTCAATAACTAAACTTTATGATATGGTGATGAGTGGGGAAATTATCAAGTGCAAGGCGAAGTGGCCTTACTATTCCAATAATTCCAAAACTGATACTTTATTCAACACAGCAAGAAAAATGAATTGTATACTTTGATGTTAATGACCAGATAAAAATAGATTTTAAAAGTTTTTGCAAAAAACTCTTTAGGGCGTATCAGAAAAAATAACATTTCACCAAAAATGTGACATTTATTACATCAAAAATGTGAAATTAAAAACATAAAAAATTGTTTCCTCTTCTTTTGGTCCTGACTTCCACTGTAATGCTTTGGCCAAAGGAGAATTCAACACAAATAGGTTACATGTTTTATTTATTAGATATAGTTACATTTATTTAGTTAAACATCAAATTAAGTTGGCTAGCTAAATCAATGGCCTTTGTCTAGTTGTAGTCTAACTAATCAAGTGCGGGAAACATGCTAATGAGAGATTTCATCATAGCTTGACAGTTTTAACTAAAATGAAAAACAGTTGGTATCATTTTTATCAGCATTCACAACCTCAGCTCCATTTTGCCAGACCTTAATTTAAGTCAAGCCTAAGTCCAACTGAAACTAAACTGTTAAATGAAACTGACCAAGATTGTATTGTTTGCCTTTGTCAGATTAGAATGTTTGTGATGAAAAATCTGTCTTTCATGGAGCAAAACATCCGAAACCGCAAAATAATTTTGGTTGCAGTAGAATCAAACCACTTTCTCCTGATTCCTAAAAAGATTGACAGACAAAACCCAACTCTAGTATTAAGCTACATTCTATTAATCATAACTGTTTGCACAGCTTCTCTCAGGCTCTCCAAGTAATTTCAATGAATGTGTTTGTGTGTTTCTGTAGGAACCAGAGCACAGCGCAGGACGGACTGGCACGGTGAACAGTGTGGGCAGCAGCCAGTCTATCCCCAGTATGTCCATCAGCGCCAGCTCCCAGAGCAGCTCCGTCAACAGCCTACCTGACGCCACTGAGGACAACAAGAGCGAACTGGACCTGATGGAGGGAGGCCACACGGTCATGTCCAACAGTTCTGTCATTCACCTTAAACCGGTGGGTGCACAGACACTGATAATTTACACTAGTGTTCAAAAATTCAGGATCTCTGCTTTCAGTAAGACAAATGTTGCAGATGTGTGCATAATTTTTTTCTGTTATGATGTTACTATTCTACAATTTAACCAATTTCAACTGATTAGAAGGAAACTGTGAAAAAAATGTACGTGTCCAGAATGATCAACAGAACTGTAGTTGATTTCATAATGACTGATAAAACTGCAAAACATTGATAATAAAATTATAATAAAAGTAAGATCTAGAATGACTTATTTTAAACATGGTAATCAAATCTCAGGCTGATAACTTATCCAGAAATTACTATAAAGGGATAATTACAATAAAGTTATTTGACCGTTACATTTCAGTGTTGCAAAAATTTGGAACTCCAGAAAATCTTGAAATACCTTCAGGTGTCTAGCGTAAAGCATATCAATAAAGGAATAAAATATTTTAAGTCATTAATAAAAATATTATATATATATTATATATATATATATATATATATATATATATATATATATATATATATATATTAGTTACTAATATTACATAAATTAATAACATTAATATGATTCTGAATTTTCAAATGCAATTGTAGGTCGTTAAAAACAAAGCAGGGCAAAATGCAGTCTGTCATATCTAAGTGAGTTTGTCCCGATTAGACATTGTTTGCTTGGCTCTCTCTCTGCAGGAGGAGGAGAGTTATCAGGAGGACTCTGAGTCTCCAAACCAGCCTTCTGAGGCACAGTCCCCACCTGCACAGACCCCTCGCCGTCAGTACCGCAACAGAGAGCACTTTGCCACTCTCCGCACAGCCTCACTGGTGAGCAGTCATTTGTTATGCCATTTATCATTGAAGTCACTGGGTTTTTATGTGTAACACTGAAAGATAGTGACAGCTAAAATGCTTGATTTCTCAGTAAGCCCTGTGTGCATGTTTTAGGTGACACGTCAGATCCAGGAACATGAGCAGGATTCAGAGCTGCGAGAACAGATGTCTGGGTACAAGCGTATGAGACGGCAACACCAGAAGCAGCTGTTGGCTCTGGAGAACAAGCTGAAGGCAGAGATGGATGAACACAGGCTCAAACTGGACAAGGAGCTGGAGAGCCAGAGGAGCAGTTTCACTGCTGAGATGGACAAGCTTGTTAAGAAGCACCAGGCAACCATGGAGAAAGATGTACTTTATAGCACTTCTATATATTGCTATAGCACTGTGAATCATTGTTCTGTCAGCAGAAATACAAACATTAACGTTTGTCCACTGTGTTTTTTTTGTTTGTTTTTTTTTCTTTACTCTGTTTTCCACTTTTAGGCCAAGACTTTTGCCAGTGATGAGAAAAAGTTCCAGCAGCACATACAGAGCCAGCAGAAGAAAGAGCTCAGCAGTTTCCTGGAGTCACAGAAACGCGAGTATAAACTACGCAAGGAGCAGCTCAAAGAGGTTAGAAAACCACGCATGTAAAAATCTGGACTGGAATACTGAAACAGATTTTTAATTATTTAATTGTCACTGTATAATAATAGGTAATTACAGCACAGTATAATATTTGCAGATTATGGTATTGAATAAAGGAGGGTGATAAGTCAAAAATATAATATCCCATACTTGAAGACATTTTTTATGTCATACACAATAAGTATGACAATATTTTGCTTTTGTGAGGTTTGCCATGTAGAAACCGAAAAAAAAGCCTCAGTAGTGTCACATATAAAAAATGTTAGTGATGCACCGATACCACTTTTTCCTATCATATATATGATACTGATACCTAATTCTTGAATATCGACCGATACCAAGTATCAACACCGATTCCTACTCTATTTGACCTAACTAGCTTTCAAGTCATGATATTGATACAGTTTCACTGTTTAAAATATTTTTATTATGCAAAATAATAAAAGCAGAATTAAACAACAGATAGATAAACCTGTGGTCTGTACATGGTAAGCATGCAGCAGCTTCTCTGGCTTGGCAACATTCTCTGGCTAGAGTGCCAGCCTCTCCCAGAGTTTAGTAAATATTAGTCTTTCATGTTGTCAGTAGCAGCAGTTGAGCCGTGGATTTCTCGGCTTTGTTGAAGCAAAAGGCTGCGAGGTGATGCAGTTGTGTGATGCAACTGAGCTGGCAGGGCTAGTGTACACACATGTCCAGCTAGCAGGCTGATATGCTAAAGGCTAAACCGAGACTAAAGGCTACCATAATGACAACCTGGACTAACATTAATTCAGACCGTAACTGATTACACAGCGGGAGGTGAGGGATTACGGAAAGAAGCATGACTCAGCCGTTCATGTAAGTCGCTAACATTGTTTTACACTGTATGTTGCATTAGCGGATGTATTTGTGACATATCAGTGAAACCAATAGCTTAGGAAGAATTCCATATGTATCACTCTCTACTACAGCCTTTCCATGAAACACTGGCAGATTTTTCTCTAGCATTTTTACTGCTGCTTGTCAACCCACACCGCCGAATTGTTAAGCACACATGTACGTCAGCATGCATGTACATCAGAAATTGCTTTGTGGTTTTGGTCGTAGGCATCCGTATCCCCATCGCCGACAGCGATACTGCGATAGTATCAGCGATGACACTGACACTGTATCGGTGCAACCCTAACATACTATCAAGAACTATGAATAAAATGATTTTTGTTCAGCGTTTACATTCTGCTCGACCTTAAATTAAAATGAAGTTAAATAGGCCTAATTATGCTCTCTTTAAAAAGAAACATGCAGTTTTTAGCTACTGACCATATTCACATGATGTGATGTAATTTGTCACGATAACAATAAAATGTCTTATTGCCCTGGTATTGAAGAAACTGTCCTAGAATTTAATATGGTATGTATGCATATATTCCACAATTCCAACTCCTCCACATTTCTCCCTTCTGCAGGAGCTAAATGAGAATCAGTCCACGCCAAAGAAGGAAAAACAAGAGTGGCTGTCAAAGCAGAAGGAGAACATCCAGCACTTCCAGGCCGAGGAGGAAGCCAACCTTCTACGCAGGCAGCGTCAGTACCTGGAGCTTGAGTGTCGCAGGTTCAAGCGGCGCATCCTTATTGCTCGCCATAATGTGGAGCAGGATCTGGTGAGAGAGGTGAGTGGAGCCAGCCTGGGCTTCTGCTAAATCACAATAAAAGAACACTGTTTATCAAAGTTGGACACATCTAGTAGTTACAGCAAAGAGGACATGAACACCACTGTTTGTTCGTGCCTCTTTCAGGCATCTTATCTCAGAAATTATATTATGGTATGGTTTAGTCTTCAGCAGAGTCATTTAGAAATGAAGACTGCAAGTTTGTCTGGCTACAACTCTGTTCTGAGTGACTAAAGTATCAGCTTTACCCCAGAAGTAACATCCCTATTATTATAACTCTGCTGCAGTGAGTATTCGCTGTAACGTCCATCTAATATTGTCTTTCTCCTTTTTGTGGATTTTGAAGGAGCTAAACAAGCGGCAGACGCAGAAGGACCTGGAGCATGCCATGCTGCTGCGGCACCACGAGTCCATGCAGGAGCTGGAGTTCAGGCACTTAAACACCATCCAGAAGATGAGGGCTGAACTCATCCGTTTACAGCACCAAACCGAGCTCAACAACCAGATGGAGTACAACAAGCGCCGGGAGAGAGAGTTGCGCCGCAAGCACGTTATGGAGGTCCGCCAGCAGCCCAAGAGCCTCAAGGTAATCCAGCAGGATATTTACACGTGGTAAATTTAAAGGTGGCAAAACAGAAGAAAGTTTTATTCAGTAGGCCTGATCATGTGGAACAGGGGTCCCTTGTTTAGACTCTTATCAGTTAGTAAGTTTATACGCACACAATAGCCCGTCCATTTATAATCTCATGTACAGGAGATGCACCCTCATCAAGTTTATACATTTATGAGTTCCCTGCCATTTGAAAATATTGTTTTTTTTTTTCTTTTCTGCCTTCCATCTAAATATTACATGATGTTTCTGACAAAATGTTCAATATGAGGGATTTATGCTTTTACATGTCCAAATCTATCTTGCAATATCCAGCTAATATCTGCATGAACCGCATGCTTTAATCATGCCCAGTTAAGTAAGACTGTATTAGAAAGATGACAATCCATGCTGTTTACATCATTACACCTTTGTTAGACTAGCAGTCTTGGTTAGCTTAATACTGAACCATTGGTGAGATTGCCATTGTACTTTCCCTGGCCTTGTTATGTAGTTAATGTCAACCCTCTCTCACTGTTCTCTCATTAGTCCAAAGAGCTCCAGATCAAGAAGCAATTCCAGGACACGTGTAAGATTCAAACACGACAGTACAAAGCCCTGAGGAACCACCTCCTTGAGAATACGCCCAAGTCAGACCACAAGACCATGCTGAAGAGACTGAAGGAGGAGCAGACACGAAAGCTGGCCATTCTTGCGGAGCAGTACGACCACTCCATCAATGATATGCTCTCTACACAAGCTGTGAGTTGGACACAGATACTAGGCTACCAGTGCCGTCTATGATATACTGTGGTTAATGTAACTGAATGTAAATACTCCCTCTATCCTTCAGCTGAGACTGGATGAGGCACAGGAGGCTGAGTGTCAGGTGTTGCGGATGCAGCTGCAGCAGGAGCTAGAGTTGCTGAATGCGTATCAGAGTAAGATTAAGATGCAGACAGAGGCACAGCAGGACCGTGAGAGAAAAGAGCTGGAGCAGAGAGTGTCACTGCGCAGAGCCCTGCTAGAACAGAAGGTCTGTCCCACTCCATGCACACACCCACAAATAGACACAAAAAGCACACATTAAACACCTAAATTAAAATGGAATTAAAACTTATGGTCCTGTTGATGTCCTTTCCTGCACTGTTTTCTACACTCATTACGTACATGGTGATAAAGCTTAGGACATGGAAACCATGTTCTCCAGGGCTGGCTTTAGGACCCACAATAGGAGATATACCTGTTCAATATGAATACAAGAGTAATGCCAGAGTAATTATATCCCCACATAGACAGACACATGCACCAAGATGCAGAATACAAATTAACATGATGGCCAGCTTGACCAAACAGCAGAGGGGCGCAGAGAATTGGCCGAACTAGAATATTCAAACTTGCTCATCTCTTTTTATTCTTGGCATCTGATGCTCCTCCCACACGTAAACAGTGCACTTCATATCTTTTGCACATTATGCTGGCCACAACTATGACAATTTTGTCATCTTTGTCAGCTGTCTGCACATCCATGCGAACACACTTCTGTGCAGCAGGTTTTATCTGTTTAGCTTTGAATCATTTATTAGCTTTCTAACTTTGTGTTTGCTAGGGATTTAAGAAAACACTCACCCCACGATTTGATTTGGTTCGTGATACTGAGTTCACAATTTGGTGTTCTCATAATATGTTGATCAAAATATGTTGACAAAATAATATTTAAACAAAATCATGATGCTGCAAGCTTACTAACAACACTACAACTGTAGTGAGTTGTTAATTGGTGCTGATTATGACATGAAGTGACAATCTAAATTATTGACTCAGACCGAATTCTCAAATCAATCAGACTCTGTGGTCCAGTGTATTTCTGAACTTTTTGTTCCTATCGGCATTTCGTTCCTATTCCATCACTTAAAATTAGAAGAGAAACTTATAAACAAAATGGAAATACATGTGTAGTACAGATTTTTATGTTTTCTTGTCAGAAGCTCGACTGTGTAACATTACACTCCCACACATGACAAGCAGTCACAGGAGTTGAGGCGACATAAGCGACTTGTCACCTCCTAATGTAACTGTATGGTTAGTGTTTGCCGACACAAATGTGTTTCATGTAGGTTTGTTTTTCTTCTGGCCCTCTTTTAAAAATTGGCTACACTCTTAAAAAATATGGTTATTCAAGGGTTCTTTAGTAAAGGAAATGGATCTATGTAGAACTATGAACACTCAAAGAATCCTTTGCATGATTAAAGGGTTCTTTGCATCGTGAAAGGGTTCTTCCTATTGATGAAGAATGGTTCTATATAGGAGCTTTTTGAAAAGGGTTCTACATAGTACAAAAAAAGGTTCTTCCATTGTTACAGGCTTAACATCATAATAGACAAACCCTTTTTGGTGCTATATAGACCCCTTTTCAAAAGGGCAGTAAAGGGCATAAAACGCATTCTCCATCAGTCTGAAGACCCCTTTCACGATGCAAAGAACCCTTTAATCACGCAGAGTGTTCTTTGAGTGTTCATGGTTCTATGTAGAACCATTTTCTTTACTAAAGAACCCTTGAAGAACCATCTTTTTTAAGTGTGTACTTATCAGACATAAACAGTGGTCTGTGGTTGGTTGTTTGCTAGTCAAACAGCCCTTTCCTGCCACATTAAGAGACAAAACACACCAGAGTCTCTGACAGTAGGATAATCTCTCCCATATGGACAAGTATAGTACAGTACCTGATTTTAGTGTATAGTTGTACCTCATCTGTGCTTTTGACTGACTTCCCAAAGTCTTGAGTTTTATGCATGTGCTCAGTGCTGCCTGTCTTAAATGGAAGACATGGTGACATTGAATGAAGAGTGTAATGTCCTCTACTCTGCTTTTCACAGATTGAGGAAGAAATGCTATCTTTGCAAAACGAGCGCTCGGAGCGCATTCGCAGCCTGCTGGAGCGCCAGGCTCGAGAGATCGAGGCCTTCGACTCAGAGAGCATGCGTCTGGGCTTCAGCAACATGGTATTGGCCAACATTTCCCCCGAGGGGCTGAGCCACAGCTTCCCTGGAGCACCAGCCAGCTGGGCCCCGCAGCAGGCCCAGGGCTACTCATCCACTTCACAGGATTCCCACTGGGGCAGCAGCAGCTCAGGCTCCAGCCACCACTACCACTCTAGTCAGGGAGGAATGGGGCCTCCACAGTGGAACCACGCATCAGGAGGGCCCCTGGGGGCAATGCCAAAGAGCAGCGGGAGCATGGTCATGCGGAACAGCCCCCAGGCGCTGAGGAGGACCACCTCAGGGGGGCACAGCGAGCAGAGCATGAGCAGGAGCACCAGCATCACCTCTCAGATATCCAACAGCTCCCACCTGTCCTACACATAAATACCAGAGTACCAGTGCCAGCCCTACACATATACACATACAAACATATATACGTACAGTTTAGGGGACCACCAGGCAGAAAGAATCAGCCAAACTGCACCCTAATCCGTTCATCCCTTTCCCCTCTTTTTTTCTGTCTCCTTCCTCCCCTTTTCCACATGCAGCTATGTGTGTGACGTATAGATAAATGTTGCTCAGGTTAATAGGTGTTCTAGATCTACATGACAGTTAATTGGCCCACATGCAGAGCTAGAGTACATCTGTGTCTGTAACACTTCTCAGCTCACTTAAAGCTCAATCAATGTGACTCCTTTTTCTTCGTCTTTACAACTTAAATCCATTGAATTGATGGTTTTAAAAGAATAAGGAGAGACAACATAGGTTAACACACAGAAGTGTTACTGAATGTTATCCCAAACTATATTCTTGCCAAGCTGAACCTGACTTGGAGATGCCGTAGCTCCCATGCTGTCACATTGCCAGCCTGCTGTTATGCTCCAAAAATGACATGAATGTTGAGTTGGAACGTTACGTTGGCATTTGAGATGTAGTTTATCTGAAAGAATTAAGATAAAGAAGGGATTATTTTTATCAAGACACAACTTTAATATGAAGAGTATATGTTCTAATGCAGGTGAGAAAGGAAAAAGTAACAGTAGTCTTCCCATGTAATAGTTGTGCCATTATGCACTCCATACTGCCAGAGATTTTACATATTGTTTTGAATTTATTAGCATTTTTAATGTTTGGGCTTTTTAAGATTACAGTTGGATCTAGGTTGAATTAAACACTGCACTTTTGTTGCCAATAAGAGCAAAAATCTCATTTGTCACAGATTGCAGATGTTTGCTTAGTTTTGTACTGTTTGTCTGTGATAGAAAGCTACAGCTGTTAGTGTTTGTAGAATAAGAACAAGAGGACAGTTTTGATGTCCGAAACATTATATGTTTATCAGTGCTTTGGAATGTAGTTTTAGTTATTCATAAAATGGTGTGCTTCCCCTTACATGTCAGTGTTAATGTACCAAAGTAACATTTACCCCCTCATATACTTCCAAGGTCTAAAAACGCTATAAAAAATTTTGAGCTGTCAGTTTGAAGAGTCGAGCACCTTGGTGGAGAAAGTAGAGTTCAAGTCATTAACATTTTGTCCTGATCGAGTTACGCTTATGTTTGATACTTTTTTAATGACTAGTTTTACTTGTGAATCAGGTTTATTTTCTTCATAAATGCCTTGCCATCTCGGTTAGCAGTGTATTTAGCCAAAGAGATCAGGTATGAGTTCAGTCAGTGCCTTTTAATGCATGTATGTATTCAGTGTACAGTACATACATGCATAGGTCTGAATGTTTTACATAGACCGGAAACAAAGCTCTCCCATACAGCTTACTAATATAAGTCATACCTCATTCAACTACAAGGGTAGTGAACTGGCTCTTAAGATATATGGACTTTATGAATGGACAGTAGTTTTGCATTTGAATCTAATGTGTCACACTAGAGCAGGTTGTTTAGATGGAATGGAGGAAGGTGTGTATCTGAATATAGACTAAGGTTTTTTTGCTATATTCTATCACACACTGGAGAGCATAGTTGTGGTTTGCAGTGCCTTTATTAAAAGCTGCCTAGCAGGAGCACTTTATGTAGTTTGTGTTCTTTTGAGAAAAATGCCATGAGCCTGAGTTACAAATACTGTCTTCAATGGGATTTGCGATTTTACTCTGTGTCGTGTACATTGTCTATGGGGATGTTAAATAGTGATACAGAACCTCTGGATTATTAGACCTCTGAAGTTGATTCATCATTCTGTCGTCGGTGTCACACCCATATTAGGAACTCCAGGTCCAAGCTGGTTTACTCTATGAGAAAAATGAATGGCATTTTTGAAAATCACAGCTATTGCACCCTGTGGAAAACAAAAAGTTCCCAAAGCTAATATGCTCTGCCGTATGGACATTTGTCCTCAGAATATCGTAGATCCTCCTAATTATACGGTCATTAAGGGGCCAAAATACTATTGACTATTGCTACAAACACTGCTGCACTTTGAATTGACATAGTAAGCCTGGCAACATCACCAAAATACCCCATGCAAACCAGCAAGCTTTGTCAAATGTGGTAGTTCAGTTACTTTTGCAGTAGTAGGCCACAGTTTGAGTAACTGGTGTAACATTTGTTAATTTTCAGTAGGTACTTATTTTAATGCGACTTCATTGGAGGTGGGTAGAGTAGCCTAAACTCATACTCAAGTAAAGGTAATAATACTTAGGTAAAAGAATGACTCAAGTAAAAGTAAAAGTACATTCCCAAAGAACAACTTGAGTAGAAGTACAAAAATATTGGGTCAAAACATAAGTATACCAGGAGGTCCTAATATGGCTAAGACACAGACTACAGAATGAAACACAGCTTTAGAAATCTACAACAATATCCAACTATCGCCAAATACAGGTACTATTCTGTCAACAAGTGAGTGTTCAGTCTGTTTATACATTTCATGGCCAAATAGTGTGGCTGGTTAATCTGAACAGTTCAGAACAAAAGAATGTCTGTCTGAGTGTTTACGGCTTGTGTACGTGTGATCAGTGAATAGTTGTTAAGATTGTATCCTCATGAACTTCAGTACAAACAAGAAAAACGCGGATGAGAACTGGTATGAATGTAGTTTCCCAAGTTGTCACATCAGGGCATTGCGATCTGGTTTAACAGAAAGAATGCATGCAGGTTTGAACACAAGGATTTCTCTTTGGTTGTGTTTAGTCTTTAAGGCCATGACAGCAGGCTTAGCAATGTAAATGAGCAGATCTGTATGGGAGTATGCGCTCATTCAGAATAAACAAAGGCAGATGAATGGTTAGTTTACATATGAGCATGGGACAAGTAATTTTTTTTGCCCCAGAGGTAAATACCAAAAAATGATGACAAAATGCTCAGAATGTTTTTAAAAAGCTTTCGGCGTGAGTATGCGCTCGAGCAGAATGCTTTCTTACCATGGCAGGGAGTGCTAGTTTTGTCGTCATATTTCCCGCTTCCTCTCTTGGTCTCGTCCTCTGTGGAGCTGGTTGCAGGGTGCGGAGCTCTGGGTACATGAGTGGTGTTGCTGATGCCCCTGTCATTCCTTTCTCTCTGACCTCCTCCTCCTCCTCCTCCTCTTTATGTGCTTCTCTGGCATTACACTAAAGCTCTGCCTGGATCCAGTGTGCGAGCTGATGGATGAGTGAACACACTTGGACAGAATTTGTTTTAAGTCCTCCAAATCAGCCAGTTTCATTTACATCACTGTGACTGCGTGGAGCTCATTTGGAGACTGATTGGATTCACCCTGAGAGAGTTTTAAATGGACTATGATGTGCGCTTTATTTTTGTTTTTTTAATTTTTTTCCCTTGTGTTTTATTTGTTTTGCTGTTGTGCAATTGTGAGTAAAGCAGAATGCTCTCTCACTTTCAAGGCAAGACAAATGAGATGAGGCACTGGTATTTTTTTTTTATATGAAAGTCTCTTCAGCTTATGCTCTAAACCCTTTCATACCAAAAGCTATCCTCCCCCTCTAAAACAACAGATGTTTATTGATAGTTTATTGAACTAATACTTCAGATACGTAATCCACACAGTTGAGTGTGGAGTGTTCATATTGTACATTAAGATAGATTTAAAACATCATCTATGTGAAACCTCTCTTATAGAAAGAAAGAAAGATATTGATAGATATGAACTGTTTGATTTGCTCATGCAGGTGGAGAGTCACTGAGGGGCCTCCAGGAGTTGGACTTCAGGGACTTACGTGTGTTTACACTGCACCTCGACACACTTTCAGTTCACCCAGTTCCATTAAAGAGTTCAGACGTTGCCTCGCAGCAATGAGTCTGCACTTGCCATCCTCCTCCTGATTCATACGTTTTCTCCATTGTGTTCAATGTAAAACCTACTCAAATGAATGTCTCTGGATAAAATGCTTCCACTGTGCTCTACAATAACTATAAGAGCACCTTCTGCAGAAAAGTGGTGATAGCTAAAGTCTTCAGTTTAAACCTCTCCCATCAGCAAAGGTTACAGTTCTTATAGCAGGGTAGTAGTGTCTTATTTAACTGTTGGGGATTATGTTCAGTTTGGTCTGATGTTAAATGTTATCCTGTGTGCTAAGGGACATTAGAGACTTCGTTTTTCCTCTTCTTTGTTATTGTTTACTAGGCATCTCCACCACCAACCTGGATTAAGCATCGATTCATCAGAAATGTTATTTTTGTCCTACTGACTGAATTTAGGGGATGTGTAAGTAATAGTGATATATAAGAAATACAGGTATGAAGTGTATACTTATATTTTTTGTTGTTTTTTTTGTTTGTTTTTTTTTGTTTTTAAATGTATTGAAGGTTCAACCTTCAGTCGAACACTGTGCCATCCCAGAGCTGCCAAGCCCAGTCACTACTGCATTGTCTCCTCTCTCAAGAGAAATCAGCTATGGTTATTTAATTGAGCATATCTGATGGACCAGAACACTTATCTTGCCAACTTGTAAGGAGTAAAATGTCAAGGGGGGGGAGGCTAGTCAAAGGGGAAGGGGTACATTTCTGTAAAAATTAATGTCAGTATTCATTGTCTTCTGGCTGAGCATCACCACTACAATTCATATGTAACCTGTATCAAACTGTATAGATTGTGAAACATGTTATTGAATGTCTAAAAAGATTATGGCTTGAGATTATATTAAAGTATTCATGAATCAGAGAAAAAAAAAACATTTAGGGTTTGATGAACTATTTTGCTTGTACTGTATTGTGTTGGAGGAATAATGGAGAGAGGATTGGCTGTAATAAAATAATTTTAGTACAGCAACTTGTCCTGCTTTTTATTTGAGTTGACCAAAGTCATGAAATTCTTATTAAAGCAAACAAAGTTTAGAAATTATGATGTTGGTGCAAAATAAAATACAGTAAAAGATGTAAGCTTAATGCTGAAATACTATTTCCTGTACCTATGGCACTGGCTGCTGGTCACAGTACTTCTGTAATGACAAATATGTCATTATGTAGCCCTACATACCACATGTTTATTCACAGTGGTAGTACACACAGTGTTCCTGGTTACTCAGTTCAGCTACAACGGGGCGGCCCAAAGTTGGCCTGTTAGAATGTTTGGTTTCGTCCACTATAAAGTTACCCCAACCCCACCGCCTCACCCAGTGAAAGAACAAACATATTTTTACGTTATGTATGACTAATTTACTTCGTATGATCCTATATTTATTGTCTAAGCTGCACTATTACAAAATTCATGCACGTGTTTCATGCAGGTATATATTTCCCCCAGAGAGGTCTCCAAATCCGCACCCTGGCCCAGTAAAAACTTGGCACTTATATATATATATATATATATACACACACATACACGTCATTGGCTCCAAGGCTGGTGCGATAACAGCGTTTAGCTTCTAAACGCACTTGTCCTATAAAACCCTATACAATACTGAGTCATATCAAAACAACACTTAAGAAGAAAACAAAAGATGAGAACACAACAACATTAAGGCAATTATTAATACACAATTATTATAATGATAAATGTATTGTCTAAAGCTCTCTGTTGTATTTGCGTTCTGCCTTAATGCTGTTGTGTTCTGACCTTTTGTTTGCTTCATAAATGTTGTGATATGTTGTGATACGGCGGGCCACCGTAATATAGAACCATTTCATGCTTAATTGGTTCTTTGCATCATTGGTTCTTCCCTTTTGAAAAAGCATAGGAATGATTATATATTTTTGGTGGTTCCTGGTGGTTTTATAATGTGTTTTGTTTTTTCCTGATATCACAGTGTTAGGGAGTCTCTTGGTTTAACAGGTGTTCTGGGATTGAATCCAGATGCGTTTGTTGGTTTCCTGGGTGTGCTACAGGAAGGTCTATACGAAGCAAAAAAAACATCAGATTTTAATCCTAATGGTTTTAATTGTCTCTTTTCAGCAGGTTTTAGACTGATGGAGAATATGTTGTCATGGTTATAACAATAGAAGAACCCTTTTTGGTGGTATGTTACAGTCAAAACCATATGCAACATATCCTCCATCAGTCTACGTTACCATGCAAAAAAATATTTAAGCATGAAATAGTTCTATATAGAACTCGTTATGAATAGATTTTTAACAGAGCCATTGCCTTTACTAAAGAACCCTTGAAGAACCATATTTTGAATCAATTCTAAGCACTATTTAGAGTGGAAGTTCGCGAGAAAAAGCCTCGAGGCCCTTGTAGGCCACCGTACGGCAAAAGTGTAGTCATGTTGCTTTAAGGGCGCGGACCTGAGGCGATCGCACGATCTCCACAGCATGTCTACTGCCAGTTTGCTGGTGAGATGATTTGTAGATCCGTCGGTCCGGAGGCTTCAAAAAGTGGCTTTATTTATCAATGACGTAACGAGTGGACCTGCGGATCGGACATGTTGTAGATTTACAGCTTTCCGAAAGTTCAGCAGCGCTCTGGCGGATGATGAACAGCTGTATCAGTCTGCTTCGTGATATTTCAAACTATGTTTTAAGTCGACTGACTTAAAGTGGAGGTTAGAGCTGCCGTCTGTTCACTCTCTCTCTCTTTCACCAGCCAGTGAGCCACATTTACTGTTACCGTTACTGGGCCCTTACAGTGGGAACACACGCTGAGCTTTCCAGAGCTGTAAAAACTGTGAAAGTCCTCTTAAATACCTTTGCGGAGCTGAGGGACTGAGCGGAGTATGGATGTCCATGGTTTCCATGTCTGTGCACACAGAGAGACCGCGAAGAAGTGCCTGAGAGGAAGGAGAAGAAGAACTGAGCTGCGAGTAGCAGCTGGTGGAGCTCAGAGCAGCAGGCCGAGCTTCATGAGATAGTTTCATTACTCCTGAGTGGCTCCAGCAGCTGTTTGTGGATGTTAATCTACAGTTATGAGGCTCAAGGCAGTGACTTTGTTGTTGTATGGACTTACATGGCTCTTTCTGATGAAATGCTGCAACTCCAGACCGAGTCAGGACTGCGACACCGGCCAGGTCTGAGCTTACGGTTCATCTAAACCACATTTACCCACTGAAACATACGGAGTTTAGTCTTGTCTGTTTTACTGATGCAGCTGTGTATTGGAACATAGTATTACTAGTGATTCTGTTTGATAGTGAATTTTTTACTGTTATACATATTTACGTGTTGTAACATCTCATTAACCCATTCGTGCCCAAACAGTAATTATTCCGACTTATCTAAGTCTTAAGTGATAACTTTTGTACAGTTGTATACTCGTATAGTTAAATCTGTCAGTACACATTACATTTTTATGTTTGCATGTAATTTTCATTGTTTTATTCACAGGCATGTTTGAATTTTCTATTGTATTAAGAATCAATATTTCCATATGACCAAAAAGACTGAATGTAATGTGACATTATTAACATACCATTATGCAATATAACATTTAACAGTGTGAGTTAAGTTAAAAACTCATTAATTTGAAAAAGTAAAAATAAGTTAACGCATCCTCTAAAGAGAACACACTTTGCACATTTTAATACACAATTATTGTTTATTTCTGCTGAATTTAACACCGGGGGGGGGTTTATGTTGACCTATTTATTATGTTAAATGCAAAAAAAATAGAAATTGTGCACTAAAATTAACAAAAAAAAACTAAATATGAGTATTTTCTCTTAGAAAATGAACAAAATATGTAATGACTGACATGTAAAGAAGGACATTAATGGGTTAAATGATGCTGCATAGCATCTTTCCTGACTTACTGTTGTCAAATGTTTTCCAAAGACAAAGCTGGAGACAGATCTTCCTCAGTCTGATGAGCTCACGTGCCCGGAGCCGTGGCCACACTCAACTCTGGTAACTCTTCTGATCATACACAGTGAATGTAGGGGGAGCAGCATAAACTTTCTAAAATTAAGTTTTCAGTTATTGAGCCCTTAGGGCATTTATAGGTGAGTTATAATGGAGGAGTGCTGATATTTTTGTCTGTATGAACCTTGTCCTCTAAGAGAATTTGACCTAATTGTTTATCTCTCCCCTGTTGTTGCAGAGGCTTGCTGATATTTCTGTCAAGCACCCCCTTCAGGTAAAAACATTACATATTCATCCCTCCAGCCTTAAATAACCTGCTGATTATAACAGTGGTTTCCCAGCCTCTTGTCTGTTTTTCCCCTAAATGAGTGATTGACTTTACAGTTGAAATCAATGGCTGTTGTTCTTAAATAATATCTTGACACTAATAATGCTGGATAAAAACAAAACAACTCAGAGAACGGCACTGTTTCACAGCTTTTCCAAAAGATCAAGTACTTGCAAAGGGAAACAAATAGGCTATGAAAATGTGTCTGTCATACATAATGAGTTCTTATTGGTGTTTTTATCCTTAGCCAGCTGAGCACATCTGCATGAATATGCCCATCAAATACAATCACACCATTCCAAACAGGTAAGCCTTATACTTACCTACACTGCATTTCCTTTAAAGTTAACCTAAAAATGGACTTTTTTTAACATGGTAGTTAATGCGTCTGGTTGTGTTAAGCATGATCATCATACCATACCATTTAAAGGACAGAACTGTTGTTTTTCTGTAATCTTTCAGCAAATTGTAATGACTGTTTCCCACCTTAAAAACAGTGTGTACCAGCAGGTGGGAGAGCAAGATTAACCAATAATATCATGTTTTGCCATTCTCACATATCACTGAGCTAAAATGCTCAGCTAGCTCAGAGACCACATTTCACCTGGAAATATGCTGTGGTATCAAAGGAAAATACAGTACAATATGATTCATGCTGCTTTTAAGTCACATTATTAGTGAATACTAAATATTGAACATTATTTGCAAAGAACGGCTGATGTACATATGCAGGACTTTATGTTGTTGGTATTGATTTGTCCCCAGTGGAGCTCACAGGCCTGTGGGAGCAATGAGCGGCGAGTACCTGTACTGCCCCCCTCAGCGCTGGCTAAACAACCTGAAGGTAACCCACACTTAGGTGAAGCCCAGCTAATCCAGCACACAGTCATGTCTCTTTAGTTCAAACTGAAGATTAGCATGTTTGGACATGCCTTAAGAGCTCTGTAAGGAAATGCTTATCAGTAACAGTTTGCTTGAAGCAGGTGTTTGCCAGTCCAAATTGTTCCCTGAATGTGTTTGTTTATTTGGCAGATGTTGACTGTTAGAGTGAGTGAGGTGTGTTTTATAGGTGGGGTTTCCATGAGTGCTGAAAAATGTGGTGTGTTAATATGAGCCAATTTTAACAGCCAAGTGATCAGATGAGCCCAAATTCTAATCACGCTTTTAGGATGGACTGAAGCTGTGATGTGTCCCTCTGCCCTAGGATGGCGCAGCAGTGCTGCTGTATCACCCCTGTGCCTCAGAGGATGCTCGCAGGGGTCTGGCTTTGATGGCCCACTCCTGCCTTCCTCATTACATCCTCACAGCTCACCCCCAACTCAGCCAACGCAGAGTGAGTCATTCCTTCACACTGACTCATTAAGAGACAAAAATTAAGTTAAGAAAATGCTGTAAGGAGTAGGGCTGAAAATCTCTGATCTCGATTTAATTACAGTTGTTTAGGAAGCGATTACAATGCAGCTTGGAATCTCTACTTTCACCTCAATCCTATTAGTTTGGTATTATTCAGGATTGCTTTTAAAAACGCAGTGAATACACAAATGTGACTCGATGAACAGTAATGAAATATAGACAATAAGAATAGTCTATAGAATAGAAATTATTTTGGTAGTGAGTGCATACTATATTGAATATTATTATTAATTATAATCAGGGATGCACCAATACTGGATCTATGGGCTGATGCCAAGAATTACTGAAAGGATAAATGATAATCAAACAATTTGATAAAATACCTCTTTGTTTTCCAATTTACATGCATTTTCATCATTTTATTATACTTGTTTTCCACCCTCACAAAATTCTAAATTTCAAGTAATATGCATTTTTATCAATCCCATTTTCATCATTTAATTCTGCCCCTCATGCATATCTGTCCATGCATCAACAATTCATAAAATGTAGAAACTGGGACTACAATTACATGGATTGGCAATGCAGAGAAATAAAATATTTATCTTCATAGGGTTACAAATGGAGAAAAACGACTAAAATGCTGACATTTTAGCACAGTAGCCCAACATCACCTAAACTCTCAGCTTTACCGCAGTACAATAAACACGTCTTCAAGTATCAGTTTAAAATATGCCAGATTTAAACACCTGTCCAATGTGAATAATGTTTTTAAAGCAATTATCTGCTGATACCAGTATGACTGTGATATCATCATGCATCCCTGATTGTAATCAGTTGTAACATTCCTAAATCAGTGGTCATCCATGCAACACAATGCATTTTTACACTCCTGTTTTACAGTGTCAGTAATGCTGTTTTTATTCTATGCGTAAGCAGTGTTAAAACACCGTGACTGCTTTCCAGACTGTTTACGTTAACTTTGCCTTGTTGTCATTTTCCGTCAGCCTTTTGCTTTGGCCTCCTGGGGTCATACACTAGAGATGTCCCATGTGACCTCATCAGGAGTTTGTGAGTGGTTGCTCACAGCTTTTTCCAGCCTTAATCAATCCATGGAAAGCCAACGACCAAAGTACAGCCTGTTTTTGACAAAGGCAGCTCCTGTGGACAGAGTTCTGGGTGTTACTGTAAAGGTAAGAAGTCAAACATAGTCTGTTCGACACTGCATGCGCATTCGACTGCTAAAAAAAAAAGTCATATATTTTCAAACAGCAGCATTTACTCAGTTATTTCTCTCTGTCGTACAGTCTCTGAGAGCGTGCTGCGTGGAAGCTCTGTCAGCATACGAGTGGACTGCAGCGAGATCGAGGAAGAGCCGGGCAGCCCTCCAGACCCAAAAAAGGGAAGTGAAGAGGAAAGATGAAGCAAAACTGTCTGAAAATTCTGCATTTAACAGCTCAGAGTTTGAAAAGCTGAACTCTACAAAAACACAAGTGCTGAACATTGCTGAGGATAAAGAGACACTCTCGACTGACTCTCGTGGTAGCCATGTTACATCCGCCCTCCTCGCTGCCATAGAAACAGATGAAAGGACGACAGCCGCTCAAAGAAAGCCGACCAATAGCCACAGTAAAGGTGAGACAGGACAGGAAGAGGTGGTGGGGACTTCAAAAACAGATGTAAAGACTTACAAGAAGACTGAGCTGGAAATTCAGAAGCACCGTGTTAAAACTGATACAGAGGAACAGGGTGCTAGAGGTGGCTGTGGAGGGCCAGGTCAGTGCAGAGCTCCAGACACAGCATCTCCAAAAATAGGTGGGCCGCTGCGAGGCCACAGGATTCCTACACCGCGCACTGATGAGGCCGTGTGGGCGGCCGCAGCACTGGGCTTTCTCTTAGTGCTGCTCACACTCTCTGTGCTCCACACACGTCTTTACCGCAACTGGCGCACGCCACCCAGCCTGTACTGGCACGAGACTCAGCAAGACTACGAGAGCGTGGCAGGTATGCATGCATACGCTTAAAATTGATCTGTGTTTTAGTAGGAATCAGTCATTTTCACATTTAAATTGTAGTTCACCGGTTAATCATTTCCACTCATTCTGTTCAGGTTTATTTTTAAAGAAATACAAAATGTGCCATAACCTTTGCACAGACTACGTTGTATTTTTCATGTACAGAATTCTGTTAGAGGATGTGTGCTAATTTTCACTTAGAAAATCAACAAATCATCTTTTGACCAGGATCGTCCAAACTTTTAAGAGAAGAACATTATTAAACATTTTAAAGCATAGTTATCAACAATGTTAAGTGTTTTTTTCTCAGTTAATAAATTTTGTTCTGGTTCATTTTTATAGATTCAAGTGTTAGAAATTAAATGTATTTGGATCGTTCTAAAGAGAAGCCCCACCCCCCCCCACCCCCCCCAGCATTCCGTTATCCCTCTCAGGCTAAAACAGGGGTTCCCAATTCCACTCCTGGTGAACACACACAATGCACATGTTTGTGCTGTCCCTCATTTAGCTCAGTTAATTCAATGCATTAGCAAATTAACAAGCTTCTCATGTGCAGGGTCAGGTGTGTTAGAGTAGAGAAAACACACAAATGTGCAGAGCTTGAGGTCCTCAGTACTAGGACTGGAAACTCCTGGGTACAAAATAAGAGTAATTAATACCGTTCTTCTGATATAGCCTAGCATAATATTCATTTGGCCTATTAAAATGACTAATAATAAAATAAACAACAAAAATCTGAGTTTATTCAATATGTTTAAGTTTAGGGGTGTCAAACTGAATTCCTTCCAGGCCGCAGCTCAACAGTGTTTAACTGCTTAATTACACACACTTGTTTCAACTCCTCAACTAAGACCTTCATGAATTATATACAGAGCATTAAAAGAGGGAAAAACGCTAATTTCTACAAAGCTGTGTCCCAGAAGGTGCCTAGTTTGACACCCCTGATTGAACTGAAAAAAAATAATGTTATTAACCGGAAAACTGCTTTTTTTAGGATTTATTTTTCACTCTTAAAGTTGAAAATGATTTTATTCTGATTTTTGCTGACTATGAACAAAAGTTAGCTTTTAGTTTTCGTTCCTTCTAACAGCTTCTAATTCCTGTAAATAAATATTGAATGATTTTCACCATTTACTGCAGAAAGCTGTAACACAGGTGGTGTTGTGTTGCAGATATCATTCGAAGGAGATTGAGAATGGTGGGGAGGAGGAAGAGGAGAGCCAGCCAGAGCAGGAGACAGGAGTGCCCCCTGCTGCCTGACTCCAGCACTGACAATGAGTCGGACTGATTTGCTCACTGCCTTGAGCGCTCTCTGCCTTTACAGGTTGACAACACTGCTTATTTGTGTGGAATATACACAAGACAAGGATTTCAATCACAGAGACTGTAACAGGTGCATTCATTCCATACCAAGGAGATTCCTAAGCATGAATGCTATTCTGACTTGAATTTAGGCATAAGTTTTATTGAAGCATTTCAGTTATCGCTGAATACTCATTAAAAAAGTTGTTTTTCATGGTATAGTTGAAGGTAGTTCTTGGGACATTTTGCAAAACACATTTGCATGTCAGCCAAGAAAGGAAGGGAAAAAAGCACAAGTTTTATTATTAAGTGATGCATATCTATTTTCCTGAAAATAAGTGTGTCATATAAACATAAGCAATGGGCTCTTGCTCTTGTGTATTTTGAACTCTTTTTATTACCTGGTGAAGAAGAAAGTTTTGGTTTGGTATGCCATAATACAGGGTATTGCATTTTTGCATGTGTACGGTCGGTTACTGATACATGGCATTGCACTTCGATAGGCTAGGATGGATTTTTTATAACAAGCCTAGAAGACTCTCTTACAAGAAAGGTGTAGAAAGTTGTCCATACTAAAAGTGCACTGTAAGGTCCTCTCTGCTGGTGAGGATGAGCAATCTAGAGTTCTTTGTAAAGAGAAGCAACAGGACTCACCAGGAGATGGCAGCAGTGCTGCAATAGACAGATTCAGTGAATAATACGCAAAGACAGAAATACTGTAGACACTATATGTCCAGAAGTTTGCAGACACCTGCCTATCCACAGTTTCTTCTCGTGTCTTATTGTGTCAACAGTGAGTGCACCTTAAAGCAGCTGCCCTCACTAATTAGAAGAGCTGTCTGGATACTTTAGGACACACAGTTTATCTATCACAATGAATTATATGCCAAATACTAATAATTTAAACGATGTGACACATCTGCAAATGCCAAATGTGGAGTATTTCAGGATTCTAACACATTTCTAAATCTTTTTTTAAAGGTACATGTAATGCAATTGCTGTATTAACTATTCACATGGTAGGTACAGTACATGCCTAATATCAATATCTTGTCAAAAGCTTTTCATATATTGTTTGGCACATATTGATTTCATTGAAGTGTAATAGCTTCTCTTACATTATCATTTCTCTTCACCAGGTTTTAAAACATGGGACCGTACGAGATTAAGAGTGCTGATCTGGGATCAGATCTCTTTACCATGCAATCATAGTCAATTGTGTTTTATGCTGATAAGTACAGTTTTTGTACTGTAAATAAAGATGTTTTTGGAGTGATTTTTGCCTTTGCATCAAGGTTGCTTGAGCTGGGAATTTGTGCAGTGTAGCATTTATGAGGTTCATGTTAGTGTCCAAATGGTAATAGCTTAGCATACAGAAAACTTGGCAATGCCATGACCACTTAAACTCTAAGCCTGTCATTCAGCTATTAATCTTAAGGCTTATTATCCAGTAGCTACTATAAGTTAGTATATAAGGTTTGTAGTTTTGAGAGTGAGGAAAGTAAGTCTATCTTGAGTTGGATCTCTGCTCTTGTTACAGCCATTATGTCCTTGTGCAAGACACTAGACCCCAAGTGACTCCATCTGGACCATAGCTTTAGCTAAATGAAAATATCACTGTCAGAACAAAACTTTTCATCTCTATTTTTTTCCTCAATCTTTGATGTCGTTTGAAAATAGCTACCTTTTAAACTGTTACAAAATTTCATGATGAATGGACCAATAGAAATAATCTAAAATTAGCTGGAATACAGTCTTTTTCCATTAACTTACGTTGAACATTAGGACTGTTTTTCCTGCTCCTGTGCAGTTACCATTAGAAAAGTTTAGTCCTGATCCATTTCCTTCTCATGATTAGTGTTCCTTCATGAAGTATTGATTTTTTTAACTTCAGTCATGTGGCAATTTGGTCCTCTCATGATAATGATACTTAACATAACCGGAAATCGTAACACATTCTCCAGACATATTGTGATGTATTTCTGAGTGAATGATTACAGAGGGTCTCTGAGCTAGCTGAGCATTTTCCTTCGATTATCGGTGGGGTTGGTGGAAGGGGGAGGTGAAATGTGATATTATTGGTCATATACGTATTTTTCCTGCCCACTGGCGCACGGTCATGTAACCGAAAATCAAGACTTCCTTTGAGGCAAGGCAACAAAAAGTCATTACATTCTGAAACAATCTAAAATTACAGGAAAACAATAATTTAGTCTTTTAAATGGGATATGATGAATCATGCTTAATATGAGCACAGACATAAACTGACAAGGCAAAAAAGTCTGTTTTGATTTCAGGTTGACTTTAAAGAAATGATTCACCAAAAGTTTGATTTATACAGTTTTCCTCATAGTTGATATGCCAAAACACATTTGGTGCGTTTGGCTTCTTTAGTTTTGCTCTGGAGCTATGAAGCTAGTGTAGCTTAAAAGTAATAGAAGACTGTCACCATTTCATTTTTCTCCAACAAACTGTTCCTTTAGTTCTTATTAGGTGTCCATCCCCTACTGACAACATCCTCCATTCCAAACAAACTAATCTCTGTCCGCTTACGCAAGTTTGACTGGGTGTGTGTTTTTTTTGTACACAAAAAGTGCTTGTAAGATGTGTGTGTGTTGTGCAATGGGAGCAAAATAATAAACACAGCACCAATTATGGATCACTGGCCTAAAGCTGTACATTGTGAAATCATAGCAGTAAATAAGACACATGTGAGGATAGTAAGGCACGCTGCTAGGATTGCACATTGGCAGTATGCTTTGCACAATCTCAGTTGTTGTTCTGATTCTGGCCCTGCTGTGTTGCAGTTCAGAGAGAATTTTGAGGTATTAGAGTGATCTCAGGACTCCGATAGTTCTACTAGAGATGTGTTCAAGCAGGTGACGCTTGAAGGTAGATTAATGACCCTCGTGGTCTCTCTGAGGCAAAGAACAGACCATATACAATTACACAAGCTCTAATTTCACTTTGCTCAAAGCGACTCTGGCAAGGCTTTTGGCATGCATGGAAGCTTCATGTAAACGATTTTGCAAGTTTTAGTGTTGTGTAGTCAACCTTCTGCATCATAGTGTCTCTAAATCATCAGTTACTGTATTACACTCATGCACAAACAGTGTTTTATTGGTGAAAGCTGTACGTCTTTGTGGACTTTCTACATGTCAACTGTGTGTTCGCAGTGCATACCTTACATGCTCCAAATCACGCCAAATTGCATGGAATTTACCCTGCTACCACTAATCTTCCAGTTAGCCCCTCTGACAGAGTTTTACAGTTTGAAAAAAGCAAGCCCACAATTACATCTCATTTCAGCATTCCTTTGGGAACATTCTTTGAGCTGTATATTTTAAATTATATGTATTTTGAATACATGTATGTGTATGTTCACAGGAAAATCCACTCATTTAAGATGTCTCTTTTTAGATGTAGACTTAGCTGATGGGCCATCAAAAACACAATTATAGCTCTGTCATGGAAAAGCCAAGAAATTTTAAGACGTGGGATAATTTGAGACGTTTTTCATAGCTGCGATGGAGGTGAACAGACACCGACTGCAGAGTCAAAAGTTCTTAAACAAAACTTAAATAGTTATAAAAATAGTTATAAGAATTATATTTGTTATATTAGACTTGATTCTTAAAGGGAAGCCTGACTGTTAAGCCATGTAGGTTTTAGTGAGGTGTACATGTATGGTACTGTTGAAATATGTTGTATAAAATACAACCACTAAGTGAGGAACAGAGGACTGATTATCTAATTTAACTCAAATATATCATTCAGCCTTTCCAGCAGTAGCTAAGTGTATAATTATCCAAGAGATAAATGTTTTGTCTCATTTACTATAGACTGATTCCATTGCAACCATCATCATCAAAGTGTGAGAGTGTCGATCTAGTGCAGAGATTTTGTCTATTTGTGATGTTTTTTTATAATAAACAAAACATTTCTGTTTGGTATACACACTATAGGATGAACAGGTACCGAACTGTCACCTCAGCACTACCCCTCTTGTCACTGGGGTGGTACCCTCAAGGGTTCATCTTCAGTACCTTTAATGGGGGGAACATAATTAAACTGCAATACATTGGAATTACATTTTCTAAGTTGTACTGACTTCACTCACCCCGTCTCGTCTTCATCCTTTTTATTTTACTGTTCTGTTTCAAACATTAGGTGATGAAAAGGTAAAAATACATACTTTTCCACTGGGAAAATTGTGTTTAAGGTGCACAATTGGACCTTAAACCCACTGTTGTACATTGTGTGTACCATGAATGAATTAACAAAAAATGTACCTGCAGAACCTTTTCTGACACTAAGGGAGTCATATTTTAATGGTATTAGACATGTAGACTATTTTCAGGAATACAAGTTATAATAGTTAAAGAAAAACAGCCTCTTTAAAAGTGGAAAGTGAATTTTCTGCTTGTTCAGAACAGCACAATGTTGAACTCTGTGAAATCACGTTTCAGACATTAGTGGGTCTTATAGAGTATAATTTAGTTTAGGGACAAAACAAATGTTAAATGATGAAATATATTGTCATGTAAAAAAAAACACATATATCTACTTTTTTTTATCATTCGAACACAGCTGCTGCCCTTTTCATGGACTGAAAATGTCATGATGGACCAATAGAAATGCTCCAAAATTAGTTGAAAAAAATTCACATTTTTCACATCGCGGTTTTTGCACTGTCCTGTAGTCATTATTTTGGAGATTTCTTTTTGGACTGTGATATGCTAACAAACACACGTGTGGTCTGTAATACTGTTATAACAGTGAAATGCATCATCCTTCTAGATTTTTCTGTCAAATAATTGGATTATTGATATTTTTCTGCCCCTATAGCAGACTGTTTAATTAATAACTTTCCCAGCTTTAGTCACTTCACTAAATTGTATTTTTCCCATGAACATGGCAGTGATAGTACTTTAACTACAGTTTAGGACTGACTGAAGTGGATTCATCTTTAAATTGAATGTGCCAAGGAGTCATATTCTGTAAAAGCTATATGAAAACTTTTACTTATACAAATTCATTCTTGACTTACACAAATGGTCTGCAGGAGCAAAGAAAAGGGACACTAAGCGATTGTTGTGGCCTAGATTCAGCTGAAAGAACAGACAAAGTAATTCAGTTTTTTTTCCTTTTGAAGGACTGAGGAAATAGGAGATTAGAAGGTGTTCTATTGCAATGTATCCACTAATTGCTGAGGAACGTGCCCTTGATGCCTATAATCTGATACATCTCTACAGAATCTGTCTTTCCCTCTGTGACCTTAGCAAACTCCTCCCAAGGCATATGGTTTTCCCAGCTTTAGCACTGACTGAGTCATAACAACATGTTAAAAGGCATTCCCAGCTACCTACATCTTTCACCCTGTCTGCTCCAGCTGGCCAGCTTCAGTGCCTCTGTGTCTCAGAGCTTGAGGATGGGGATTTGGGTTGGCTTAGCTTGTGCTTGCGCTGTGATTGCTCTCCAGTGTCTTGCCGCACCTCTACTGCAGCTCAAGGGAGAAAACGTAATATCACGTGAGGATGGAAAAACCCAAAATGACTTGATTCTAGCAGATGTAAGTTTTTTCATTTCTTGTTTTTCTTTTACCAAGTATTGATATTACTGCACTGCCTTCTGTACAACACACAATGAAATCATTTCTGTGGTGCTTAATGGAATGTTGTTATTAATACTATTAGAGATCTGTGACATAATTTGTGTTTATTTTTTACCTTGCATGTAGTTTGCCCCCTTGGTTTTGGGCCTTGCTTTGCGTTAATGCAAAAAATGCTAATACCTTTTTGCTCGCCAAAACAGAGACCAATCATGTACCAACCAGATGAAGGGAATCAACAAAAATTTTACAGCAGTGATGTATCTTTGGTTATGTGGTTATACATGTAGATAAGTGCAGATAGCAGAACAAGACAGTTTAACATTCAGGCTGAATTTCAAATGGTTCCTAACAAAATGCACTGAATAGGAATTCTAAAAAATCCTGTTCCCAAACAGTACATAATATGTCTAGCAACTAACCATTTGGGATTCAGCCGTATGTGCACAATTCCATAGTGCACTATTTGGGGGTAGAAGTCAGAATTTCCTAACTTAGTTAAGTTAAACATTTGACATTTCCACCCATATTCAAGGCTTTCATCAGAATATGAAGAGTCTGACGAAACGTCATGTAAAGAAAGTAACTTAATAAAGTCAGTTTTTTGCTGTATCATGGGCCTTTAATTTTGGGTGCACCTCACCTATAGTTGGTTGAAACATCTTGTTATTCTTCTCTCCCAGAAATACCTTCAACTCTTCTACAGTTTTCAGGCAGGACCAACCAGCCGTAGGAAGAGAAGTCACCCCTCGTTCTCCTCCAAACTTAAGGACATGCAGAGCTTTTTCAGGCTTAATCAGACTGGCAGCCTGAATCCTGAAACACTGGCTGTAATGAAGACACCCAGGTGTGGTGTCCCTGACATTCAGGATTATGTTTCCAACCGAGGCAACAGGTGGAAAAAGACTGTAATCTCTTACAGGTAAACAGCTTCAGAAGCCGATGGACTCCAAGTTAAGGTTATATGTTTCTGTTGAGGTTAAATGTTTCTGTTTTAGGTGAAGTGTGACTTTTATGGATATTTCAGGGTTGGGAGGTATACCAGTGACTTACCCGTAACAACAGTAGACTCCTTGATTGCTTCAGCTCTGGATGTGTGGGCGAAGGCCAGTCCTTTAAGGTTCTTCAGGTCACATTCTCAGCAGGCAGACATCGTGGTGGAGTTTGCCACCAGGAGTAAGTAGGCCCAGGGTCACATAAGCCTACAGCCCTCCAGTGAATGCATTCTGGTATATGAAAAACATAAAGTCAAGTTGGTGTATTATTTACCGGTGGATTAAGAGCGAAGAGAATATGGTGTCCCTCAGGATTCTGTGAGATTAACCGTTGTAAATATGAGTTGTACAGTCCCTCTTGTTGAGCAATCTGTTTTTCTCTGCTCCTGCCTTCCTCCAATACAACCTAGACCATGGTGATTCGTTCCCCTTTGATGGACCCAGAGGCACACTGGCCCATGCTTTTGACCCAGGAGAGGGCATTGGAGGAGATGTTCATTTTGATGATGATGAACTTTGGACCGCAGGTTCTAATGGTATGCAAGTTGGTGTACAGAATTATTTGGTTTAAATGTGCACATCAACTCAATTATTGCCAGATGTACAGTAGCATTCAAAAGTTTGGAATCAATGTTTTCAACATATAAAAATATAAAAAAAGTTAAACTCCTGATTAAACTCCAGGATTAGTAAGTAATACAGTCTCAAGAGTGAGAAATTCAAATCTGGCTGTTTTTTAGAGATTAAGAGGTTATCATTTAAGAAATAGTGATGTATCACTGTGAGGAATTTTGAAAGTAGCAGAGTGGCTTCCCTTAACATCTGCCTCTTTCCACTGCAGGGTTTAATCTGTATCTAGTTGCAGCACATGAGTTTGGACACGCTTTGGGTTTGAGGCATTCTCAAAACCCGGAGTCCCTCATGTATCCCACTTACAAACTCCGAAAACCACACAACCTGCTTTCCAGTGAAGATATCATTAACATCAACACACTTTATGGTACCTGTTCGTTCACTTTCCACAACCTCCTCAGAGATGAATGTACATTCCCAAAACAGACAGTCATTGGCATTTATATTCTCTCTACAGTGAAACATGAAATCATAAGTAATGTTCTGCATTCTCCACAGGACCAAGCATTCAAAGGCCTTATTATCCAAGGCTGAGTTGGAGCTATCCCTTCAATCCATGGTATACTGGCTCTTATTTCCCCATGGGATTAAAGGATAAATGTAATCCTGATCTATCTTTTGATTCTGTTACTACTTTGGGTGATGCCATTCTCTTTTTTAAAGGCAGGTAAGAGACACATATAGTGCAATAAGTAAAAAGCTTAGAATATATGGAGTTTGAGTCATTTCGCAACACATAACTGTGGCCTCCAGGGGTGAAAAAAATCAGTGTAACGTAATATCGTGATATTTTAGGTGGTAAAAATGCATATCAATAGATGGAGGCTCAAGGATCGATACTGTATCATTTAATTATTAACTTTTTTAACATGGATTGAGCCTATTTGTGGATTGCGCTTCTTCCAGTGGTACTGTTGATAGTTTTATTCCAAAATAAGCTTGAGCCTTTTAACTCTGCATTCACCTGCGACAACATATAAGCTTCAATAGGTAAAACAGAGAACATTTTCTTTTGGAGGCATAATTTGCAATCAAAAGAAAAATATCATTCATATTGTAATGCTTAGCATTTTACGAATCATTAAAAATCGCAAGAGAATCATGTCCAGGTGCAAGTATCATGGTATCTGTAGTGATTCCCACCCCTAGTGGCTACTTTTATGATGTCTTATACTGTACCAAATGGACTTTAAGTCCCAGTAGTTTACTGACCCTTACATAATTCCTCTTATTCTTTATCCATTAAGGTATCTATGGATCAAGCACAATAACAAAAATGACATAAAGGAGGGCCCCATCAACAACTTCATGCCAAACATCAATTCGAAGATTGATGCTGCCTACTGGGTTCCACAACGTTCAACAGCCTACCTCTTTAGTGGTACTCATGAATAAATAATTATTAAAAAGCATCAGGAAAAAGCAGAAAATTGGAAAATTACACAAAAGCCCCTAATATTAATATCATATCTATGACTGTTTATTTAATCTCCTCTTTATATTTGTGCACTTTACTGCCAATTTACCTCCTCCATTCATCTTAAAACCAGTGAATTACAGCTGTGTCCTCCCAATGAAAGCTATTGCTAAAGGTGTTATTGACATTATGTTCACCTTAATATTCACACAACAACTACCCAACCACACCTTAACTGCCTTTCTCATGTGCATCTAAAATGACTAAAGAAGATATTTCTGGGGAGGTTCAATATAAGTCCACTCTTCCACTGTAAGAAGATAACACAATGGGTCTGAAAGGATGTGCAGCTATCAAAAAGTCATTACTGAGAAAAGTAACTGATGAAGACTGATAAGTCTAAATTTGTAATTGGGTTTAATTGGATCATGAAAAGCAGAAAATGCAACCAACTTCTAAGACTGAACTTTGGAGGTGTGAAATAGTATCCCTGCAGATTTCTTTGAAAAACTGAAAGGAAGTCTCTTAAAAAAACGAATGAAAGCTGTAATAAAGAAAAAAGGATGGACACACTATATACTGAAAAAATGAATAATATATTTGGTTGTTGAGACTTTTCTGTAACTTTCTGTTAAATATTATGTTATGTACTTTTTTCCTTATACTGAAAAAGGAATAACTTACTGACCGTTTTGGCTAAAATTGAAGAAATGACAGAGTGGTCTCTGACTTTTGCACAGTACTGTTTGTACTGCCGTCAAGATGTTATCATGTTAACCTTTTTCACTTGATCTGTTTCAATACAGGGTCCGACTTCTGGACAGTGAAAGGGTCTCAGGTGAAAGGCCGACGTAAAAACATCAGCAGCCTCGGATTCCCAGCTTGGGTGGAGCGAATAGATGCTGCATTGCATGTTCACAAAACTGTCTACACCTTATTCTTCACTCAGAACCTGTACTGGAGGTAACCTAAGGGCCTTACATTATCATATGTCACATTCGTATCATATTCATATGTCATACAATATTCATTCTGAGTTGGTGTTACCTCAGATACAATGAGAGCCAAAAGGTCATGGAGGACTCTTACCCACGCAGCATCTCAGATGATTTCCCAGGCATTAACAAGACCATAAGTGCAGCTGTTCATAAATATGGTAAGTGTTTGTATTTGTGATTTATTCTCATGTTAATTATGTATTTCAATTTTTGATGGACTGATATAATATGTTTGTGTATTCTGCTTTTTTTCCCACTACCATCCTAAAGTTTCTGGTCACTTAAATATTAATTTGTGCCATTTCATATGCAATAATAACTTATGTAATGTAGATGTAAATTTTAGAAACTAGAGCCCAATTGTATTTTTAGATGTTTTATTCAATATTTCAAGGATCTTAAGTAATTCTATTCTGTAAATTATATACTGTTATTATCTGTTTATAATCATTTTAAGCTGCTCAATCTCAAGATTTGATGATTACTTTTAAAATATGAGGCATTCTTAACATCATTTTTATTAAAATGTCATTCTTTACAGCTTTCTCTGTCATTTTTAATCAGCTACAGCTCCATATCTCATTCTGCACATGTCTACAATTTCTGAATTTGTCCTACTAATGTTTGAAAGCTCTGCAGTTGCACTGGACTAGCATACTGAATTAATTTTACACATTCATCTAAAACTATATTGGTTTCGTATTGTAGAAAACATTGATTCTAAACTTTTCAACAGTAGTGTTTGTCCTAAATTTATTTCACACAGTTCACGTTCATGTTTTTTGGTATATGCTTTGTTTTACATTCTCAGGTTTCCTGCATTTCTTTCTGGGACCAGAGGTGTACAAATATGACATGAAACTGAAGAAAGTTATTGGAGTTAGCAAGGCAAATTCCTGGCTTGGGTGTTAATGAATAAAGATGCCTCATAGTTTCAGACAACTCCACCCTCAGATCAGCTTTGAGAAATGCTCATAAATGGGAGGGACACTTTGGACTATTTGAGAAGGAAAGAGAGTGGGTGCTACAAAAGTTGGAGCTGAAGTTAAAGTTTCTTTGAAAACATCTTGCATCACATCAGATACTGAATACTGAAACTCATTTCAATATTATTTCATTGTGCTGTACAACACCCAGCTGATCAGTGATATCTTGGACATGTTTTGAGAAAAAAGGGGGACTCATAAGGGATAGATACAAAAGAAAAAATACTACATTGTTCTTGCATTTTATCCCCTGATGTCCACCTAAAATATGTTTCCTTTATGTACAAAAACAGATCACAATTCATTTTTACAAGACCATTTTCCCACTTCTCTTCATCCCTTAGAATTAAACAGGCTGTTTTAGTTGTTGTGCCTTTGAGACTGATATAAGATAAATGAGCTCTGTTCAGACTGGCTGCCTCATTCAAAAAGCAAAGAGCTGAAACACTCCTTATAACTTCAGTGTGAGTGGGCGGGGCTAAATTGCTGTAGGCTGATTAGGTGGATATATGTAAATGAGTTTGTACATTTGACATCCTAGAAACAATTAATTAAAAAATTTGTTTTTGCAGCTTAGTTTTAATGTATGGACTGAACTGGGTAGTTAGTGGTACGTTTTGAAACATTAATCATGCTTACACATTATTTCAAACTCCTTTACTATAAAAACATGAGGGAAATTCATTTTTCCCTGGGCCCTTTAAATGAGCCTATATTAATAGGTGAACCGAAATGAAAGGTTGTGCTTTATGGTGTCCCTTAGTTGCAAATGATTACCACACTAGTAGAAAAGTGTGATAATAAATGAGAACGTCACAAGGGGTTAAAAGGGTATTATAATCATGCTCAATCATGCAGTTTGTTTTTATTGATAATGCTTGTGAAAAGCACTTTGAAAAGAAATTGTACCACTGTGTTAGTGCTAATTGTACATTGTGTAGGTCAGGGTGGGGAACTCTGCTGCTGGAAAGATGGATTCCTGCACAGTTTGGTGATTTTCCTGCTCAAAAACCCCTGATTCAACTCCGCATTAGTTACCAGCCTTAGTAGCCATATTAGAGTGGAGAAATCATCAAATTACACCCCTGGTATTGGCTTTCTGTACAATTAGGATTTTTTGTATTAGGATTTCAAATTACATTTTTCACTTAGAAAAGCAACAAAACATGTCATTTGAGCAGCACCCAAACATTTGCATACGACTAGCACACATAAAGCACAGAGAGTTATACTTCACGTGTAATTTTTATTTCAGCAGTGCAGTTTTCATGTTTATGTCCGTTTAAGTAATTTTGCTTGAGTAGTTTTTCTATTTTCTATTTAATTATGTAACTCTAAAGAGACAAGTAATCCAAACATAACAGATAGTAATCAGTTTATGCTGCATTGCATTTCTTGAACAGGAAATTAGTAATCTGCACTGGAATACATTTTTAAAGTGACCCCCCAACTCTGCCTGTGATTGGCTGAAGCTTCACCACTGCTTGAATAACACCATTCTCTACTCTGGATGTCTGTTCTATGAATTTATAAATGTAAAATGAAAATCTTTATAGTTTGTACGTCCCCTGGTGTAATCATTTACACTTAAACACATTCTGCATATAAGTTTCAGTAGCCTGAGTTCTAAACAGAACACATCGAGAGTTAGGAACCAGAGGGGAGTAACATTTCGGATAAAAAATAGTTTTATATTAAATTAAAGATATCTGTATAATGACAAAAACTTTTCTATACTAAAATACGAATGCAGTTTTAGGGGAAGGATGAATGTTAATGAACACAGAAGCACCAAAGTATGACTGAAAATTGTTTTTGCTTTCCTGTAAAAATTGTGAAGTATCACTTATGCCCCTCTGGTTCCAAGCCCTCAACATCAAAAACTGTTTAATAATCATTTAGAATGTCTACTGTATCTGAAGTTCATTGACCATCATTATTAGGGAGAATTCCACAGATTTTTTCAAAATTGTTTCAAATGTTTTTTTTTTTTTTGCATAATTAAATAGTCAAGATGTAAACAGTCAGTCAGAGTGGTTTGATGTGAAATGCTCCGTTCTAGAGAAACTTACAAAGTCAGACCTGTTCACAGTGGTTGTGATAGGAACTAGACATCTGAACTGTTTAATGCCTCTAAAAGCTCCCTCACAGAAAGCTATTACATGAAGTGGTTATGGATGCACTGACTGAGACCTGAGAAATTATTTTATTATATTTATCCCAAAATTATGATTTAAATGATTATTATCATTTATGATATTTGTGCAGTAAGTTTTGTCTAACATTTTTTTGCAATGCATTTATGGCACATGTGTACATGCATGGTGCTGTATGGAAAAATAGCCCCCCTCATTTTTTTTCATTATTAACATTACATATATAAACTACATATTTGAATCTGAAAACATATAAAAAGGCATATGTAGGTTCACTGGTCATTTTGGATAGTAAATAAAATGGCTGCATTAGTGTTACAAACATTGTGACCCCTGGTTCTCATCACCACCATCATAAAGAAATCAGACTCAGTAAGTTTCTCTACAGTGAACCGTTTCACATCAAACAACTCTGAATGACTTTGTTTACATCTCAACGATTGAATAATGCAGCAATTATGAAAAATCAGTGGAATTCCCCTCTAAATAAAACAGTGTCACATACTGTTATACGTCAGGCAAGATTTTCAAATGTTTATTAGTGAGCTCTCAAAATGAAATAAAGACATTCAATCAGATAAAGCCAACAGTTCATTATTTACCTGTAACTGCATGTTTGTTTATCATGGATGATGAAACATATTTTTTCTGAGGCCAAGAAAGGAACGTCAGTATGAATAATGGTTGTGGTCTTAGATAATATGACACACATACACACAGACAAGTGCATTTCACATGCGGTAGAGGTGTAAATTCCTCACTGTTCCAAATATAAATTTGCTTAAGCAGTATAACATCTTGACAGGGTGTAAAATCTCAAATCATTTTAATCACACTCTGATCATTAAACCTTCTGATGAAGCAAACAAGATGTGATCTCATGTGAGCTCTTGTTTTAGAGGTGTGATGACAGTAACCACTAAGTCCTTCAGGTAAACGCTGGTTTGAGGGCTTGGAGCCCACGTGATCTTTCTATCCTGAGCTACGGTGCCTTTTTTAAAGCCATAGAGAGTCTGTTTTTGAGAATATTATGGTGCTGGGTTAAAATGGGTAGGCTAAGGTCTTGGATCTCTTTGCTGAGTTGGCTAGTGATTGTGGACATTATGTGGAGCTCACCTGTTCCTCCAGAGTCCAGGCCGAGCTCAGAGGACATCCAGCATGCAGAGGTTAGTCGGAATTGATTCTTTTCGATTAAAATTATTTCTCCTCCATCTTTTATTTGCAGTGACGGGGATTTTCTAAAGCTCAGTGTGCTAAGTGTGTGAGTCACATCTGCTCGCTGAATGTGTTTTTCCTGAACACAAGTTTTTTTTTTGATGTGATACCTTCTCTAAATAAGTTCCTAACAGTTGATAATACAGTACTAACTTTTAAAAAGTCAAAATCAGAGGCTCCTCTCTGGAAATCTAAGTTGTGCTTGTCAAATGAGGCATCAAAGCTACTGTTATAATTACATAGACATGACTGTGCCTTTAAAGGGTTAAATTTCACCTTTTTTCCCTCAAAAGTTCAGTATCATTAATTCATTGAAAATTCACCAAAATCATTCTGGTTGTTTTGATGAAAAATGCACCATTCTAGAGAAAATTTGCCGTGTATAATGTCAGTGATGGGAACCGGGGGTCTGAAGTGTTTAAAGCCTCTTAGACGTACCTTATAGAAAGTTATTAGACAAAATGTCTATAAATACATTTCCTGATGCCATAACGAATGTTTTACCATAAAGTTTTTCGCCTTTAACCTATTTTTTGTGCAAACTTTTAGAAAACCAGGGTATTGTAAGGAAAGACTGTACCTAAAGAAAACATACTATCTTTACTATCATTTCAGCATTAACGTCACATGCAGACAAAAAACATTGTAGCTTCACTGCTTGTTTATGTAACAAACAAAAAATTAAAATTCTTGCCATTGTTGATGTTGCAACATTAAAAAGTTGGTATGTTTCTCTTAAACGGGCCATTTTCTTCTTTTTCTTCTGCTTGATTGTTTAAGTCAATTATGTTGAAATTTGGAAAAAAAATCTAGTTAACAGAGGGCAATTTAAATTTTAGAAGTTCAGTAATAAATTAGTGAATTATTGATTACACTATCCTGTATCTTGTCACATAACTAACTGCTTCACTTATGACCTCTGCCTATGACTGAACAGTAGGTTGTTGATTGCAGGAATACTTGAAGCAGTTCTATCACTTAAATGGAAGCCTTCGCAGGAAAAGGCATTCCGAGGCCATGGAGGAGAAAGTGAAAGAAATGCAGAGGTTTTTTGGACTGGCAGACAGTGGTCATCTGGATGGTCAGACCCTTGCCATTATGAAAAAGGCCAGATGTGGAGTACCTGACGTTGAGAATTTCAGCTTCTATCCAGGGCGACCCAAATGGAAGAATCACACCGTCACATACCGGTTTAACGTTTTGTCTTGTTTCTGAAGAAGCTATATAGCAGGCTTTGTCATTTCCTGACAGATCTTTTATGCAACAGTGTCATTTTAAGCTTTATACTTTGTTATTAAGCATTATAATACTTGTAATATTTTTTTAATGGAATTTTAGAGAACTTTGTTTATATTGTCAGGTGATTAGTATGATTAGTCTCAGAGCGTCTTTGCTCTCTCAGATTGCTAAATGTGTTTGTAATGCAGGATCGCAAAGTACACCACAGACCTGACGAGGAAAGAGGTGGAGACCTCTTTTCATTTGGCATTTAAATTATGGAGTGATGTAGTTCCTCTGAAGTTCGTCAGAGTAAGCCATGGCCAGGCGGACATCATCATCACCTTCACCAGAAAGGGTAGATCACTGTTACGTTTTCTAAATCAGTTCATGAAAACATGCTTGAATTAGTATCTTTTACTATTTGTAGTTTTTGTAGTGCAAAAATCTTTTCAACACTCGTGTCAGTACAAACAGACCACCTTTAAACTGGTACATGTCCTTTTAAAGCTCATGGAGACTTCTTCCCCTTTGATGGTCCGAGGGGAGTGCTGGCTCATGCCTTTGAGCCTGGAGAGGGTGTAGGAGGAGACGTGCACTTTGATGACGATGAGCTGTGGACGGTGGGCCGCAGGCAGGCAGGTATAACATGAAGAAAAGGTGTCAATTAATCATTAGCTGGGATGTATGGACTAACATGAGTCAGGTTACACTTATCAAAAATCACAAACAAAAGTTTTTTCTTTCCTGTTTACTCTTCTTTCCATATTCTTAGATGAGGGATGCCCAGTCAGCTCCTGAAAATCTACTACCCTACAGAGTTTAGTTCCAATATTAGACTATATTATCTTTAAATTCTAGGCTTATTGTTTGGTTATTAATCTTAGCACTCATTGTTCACTAACTACTTTTGGTACTAGTACTAATTCCAAAGTTCAGGTCCAATTTAGAATTTAGTTTCTGTAGTTTCAGTTAGGGTGGGGCGATATTGATAAAATTCAATATCATGATATTTTACAAATATATTGTGGTATCAGGTGATAGTTAAGTTAGCTTTAATTAAGTTAATACATCAGTATTTATAGTATGATTTTATATTAATAATATTTAGTATTTGCATGACTAAAGGGTTCTTTGCTTTGTTAAAGGGCTCCTTAGATTGATGGAGAATGTGCTGTAGAGGGTTCTATATAGAACCTTTTTTGAAAAGGGCTCTATATATCACCAATTTTGCAGTGTTAAGCCTGTAACAATAGAAAAACCTTTTTTGGTGCTATATAGAACCCTTTTCAAAAAGGTTCTATGCAGAATCATCTATAGCACATTCTCCATCAATCTGAATAACCTTTTAATGATGCAGAGAACCTTTGCAAAGGGTTCTATAGAACCATTTTCTTTACTAAAGAACCCTTAAGGAACCATCTTGTGTGGCAAAAGTATGTCTCACAAAACTGTGAAATAAAATGAAACGAAAATGAATCTTACACAAAACTGTAATTGTTAACTAGAAAAAAGAACATTTCCAGAAAGGCCACATACTTTTTTGTTCTTAATGGAATTTAAAGTGTTTTTATAAAATTAATCTGAAAAAAGTAAATGACAATAGTTAAATATGGGCCATTTGTTTAAGTGCACAAGATAGAAAAGAAAATAAAAACAGTACTTGGCAACAGGAACAAACCAAACCAAATGAACATCAAATGTTTAGAGTTCAGTTCCAAAGTTGAAAGTTGAAATATTACACTTTAGTTCGACTGTTAGAGTCTGTCGGTGTTTAGTTTAAATGTTCGAAATTTGTTCTAGTAGTTCCAATGTTAGAGTTCCAGAGGTTTGGCTAAGAGGTTTGATTACAGTTGGAAATAACCTCTGTGGGTTGGTAGATTTCCAAAAGTAATGTAGAACACCATCATAGATGATACATAAATGTTTTTCATATTATACAGCAAACATATCGTTAAATACAATGCAAATGAATGGCCAGTAATATGTATTCCAAACTCATGGGTTCGATTTGGTTATTATGCTTTTTTTAAATCAGTACTTTTCATTGGCTGCCGTAGGCTATGATCTGTTCACGGTGGCTGCCCATGAGCTTGGTCATTCCCTGGGCCTTCAACACTCCAAAGACCCATCTGCTCTTATGTTCCCCAAATACAAATACCTCAGTTCAGCCAAGTACAAACTCCCAGAGGACGATACTCTAGGGATCCAGTCACTGTATGGTGAGTAGACACTCTAACATAACATTGCTTAATATTCATATTCTAAGGAAACTGTGGTCAGTGTTTTATTGTAAGATGTCTTTTAAAGGAAAGAGCACTAAATACGTGGACACGCTGATCTCCAAGAAGTGTCATCCCAATTTTTCGGTCGACGCTGTGGCAGTGGTTGGAGATGAGACACTTTTCTTTAAAAACAGGTACATTTTGAATTCATTTCAGCATTGGTATAAGTCTCACTATACATTCAGAATTAAGAAGAAAATAAACCGACAAGAGATAAGAGCAGAGCAGAGCTCCAAAGCATGAATGCAGGAACCGCATGATGCTATCAAGACTGCACAGACCAAACGTCCCCAAAAAAGAATGTTCCCACCTTATTGAATCCAGGCTGTTCTGGAGGCAACCGAGGGTCCTAAATGGTCCACGATATGTGTACCTAATAAAGTGGCCCCTGTATGTTTAACTACTCAGATTTTTTATGCTATAACATCTTTTGAGACACATTCATATAATGCAGGGGTCTCAGACTCTGCTCTTGGAGGGCTGGAATCCAACACAGTTTGGTGATTTCCCTGCTCTCATGCACCAACTGAAACTGGTTATTAACTGCCGAGTTGAATCAGATGTAGAGAAAACACCAAACTGTGTCAGATTCTGGCCCTTAGAAACTGAAACTGATGATCCCTGATGTGTCTCTAACCTGTTTAGTCACTTATGGCTGAGGACAATGAGGAGATCATACTGGAACAGGCTGAGAGAGGGTCCTATAAGTAAATTTCTCCCAAGCATCATATCACCTGTGGATGCAGCATATGAGCTTCCAGCCAAAGGAGTGACTTTTATGTTCACAGGTAAAGGACATTCTGCTTTATAACTCACCAGGCCAAACCCTCACTTAGAGCTGCTAGGTCCCTTGGTTAACTGCATTTACACTGCATTTTACTACTGTACTATTGTACTAATGTGCTAATGTTTTATGGATGCATCAGGTCCTAAATACTGGGTGGTCCAGCAGTTAGGAATCAAGAGTTACTATGGCTCCATCTATGAATACGGCTTCCCAGTGAGAGTGAGGCGAATCGATGCTGCTGTTCACATCAGCAAATATGGCAAAACATACTTCTTCACAAGAGACATGTATTACAGGTGCTGAATTCCTTCAAATGCTAGAAAATTTGGTCTGTTAAAACCTGATGAAGATATTCACACCGTCTAAACTCTAAACCAGGGGTGTCCAATCTTATCCGCAAAGGGCCGGTGTGGCTGCTGGTTTTCACTCCAACAAAGCAGGAGCTCACTTGATGAAATGTTTGAAGACTGAGACCAACTGATTAAACAAGTAGAATCAGGTGTGCTTCAGCTTGTTTGGAGTCTGTGGATAATCTGCGGATAAGACTGGACACCTCTGCTCTAAACTGATGTTGTGACATGTTCTTTCAATTGTATGCTATTTTTTCCATTCACTGTTTTGTTTACACTTTACTATTTTGTTTAGAGCAGCACTATGTAAGAGTTTTTTTTGTTATAATTGAAAGAAGTAGCATTACTCAGGAAAAAAAAAACAAGTTAAAATATGATGTGCATGCGCTGCTGTGGGTCACCTTGTAAAGCCTGAAAGTAATTTAAAAGTCAGAGGTGTTGAGTCGGAATTTGTGGGAGTTTCTTAGACCACGTCATACATCTTTATGTCACACACACAGGCTCAGAAAGAAGGTCAGCTTAATGTTTAGGTCTCACATGCAAAATCAACATTATACTGATGCTGATATGTTGACCATAGTAGACAAGACACATCCTTCACCAAGTTTTTGAGTTCTCTATGAACACTCTTTTAATATATTCGCAATAATAAGATTCATCTGCTTGGGAAAGAGGTCCACAGCACAACTGATGCTGCAAAATGTTCTTCCACACATGGCATGCAATTATATATTTCCACCAGCGAGGTCGCCAAATCCCCAAAACTGACATAGTGTAGCTTTACATATTCTGTGAAATGCTACATACATTATTATTAATGCTAAATACATTATGTAATGTATGTTTTTTAGTGTTATTGTAGGCTATACAACCTGTATAAATCCTATTAAGCCTCCAATGGAATCACAGCTATTAATATCTTTAGTGCATTTCACGTGTAGACCTGAAAATGCAGGAGAAGTCTGTCTTATGTCTGCTCAGTGCTCTGCTCTGTACTGTAGATATGATGAACTCAGAAGAAGGATGGATCCTGGCTTTCCAAGGAAAATCCACACAGACTGGCCAGGCGTTGTAGGGAGAATCGATGCTGCTTTTGAACTGAGGGGTGGGTGAAGAGTTAGATTCTTTTGTTCTAGAGTTTTGTTCTACACTTTCTTCAGAAACATGTAACCATGTTTACTCAACAGGTGCTGTTCACTTCTTCAGTGGATCAAAGGCGTTTGTCTTTGATTACACAAAGGGCCGCGTCCTGTACGTTGTGAGAGCTAATGTTTGGCTCGGGTGTTAAGTGTAAAAAGACAAGGGACAGAAATCAACTGTGACCTCTGGAAGTTCAGGAAGGACAATAAAGATACGGATGAAATTTATTTCCACTTCAACTCTGAAATATCAGGATTAAGCATATGCTAGTTAACAGTGTTGTCATGCACTTGATGAAGCTTTATGCCAAAGAGCATGTCTTTGTATTGCCATGATAATGACATCTAAGATTTATTGTTTAAAAAAACAAAAAAATTATTATATAATTGTTCAACCATTTATAAGGATCTGCAATGTGACTGTTCAAGATGTACAACTCCTGGAATTTTTCTTTAAAACATTTACAAGGTTCTTTGTAGTACATCAGTTATGAGATCAGGGAGACAATACAAGTCACTTTTTCTTGCATAAGACAAACAGTACAGCTGGTTCTGATCAGCAGCATGCCAGTTCAAGCAAATGTGAAATGTGTATGCTTTGTGTTGCTTGAATAATCTGCATGTCATTTCTTATATCCACAGTACCATCGAAAGTGACCTGATACATGTTTATTTACAATATATTATTATACTTAATGGAAAATGGCTGCCTTATATAACATTTAATGAGTAACTGTAACTTTAAAGTATAAGTGTAACTTTTCTTCTCTAATATTATTGTTTTCTCATGTGTTTGGAATAAATATGGGACTTCAAATGAGACATAAAATTAAGGATTTAACTGCATGAATTCTAAGTCTTTAAAGAGAATTGTGTTTTTATTTGTTATTAAATGGAGTATATTGTGTCTGTTTTTGAATACTTTTTTCAAGCTTGTTTTTACTGTGGAATAAAATGAATACAATCAATATATCCTGTTCAGTTTATTGCGTACCCACACCAAAAGATGAGAAACCTAACCCTGACCTGAGACTTGGTGTAGTCACATTTATAATTTTGACCTTTTCATCAAGAATTAGTATTTGGAAACTTGTTCAGCATCTCAACTAAGAGCCATGTAGATCACTTTTCAGAGGCCTGTGTGCAGTGCTGTTCAGATGCCAGTGGAGAAAGAGAGGACACAATTACACAACTTCCACTGTGAAAAAACCTCTGTGGTCAGAAGCTCCGCATGTGCACTCCACTGCTGAAAAGAAAGAGCCAGCATTCTTTGTTGAAGGTAATCCTCCCTTCTGAAAATACAAAAGTAATTCTAAATCAGCCAGTTATTTAATATTATGTCTGTGTGTGCTCAATTTCCAAGCTATCTGCAGTATACTGAGAAAAGAAGGCAATCTCTGCAAAGTCTGTTACACATAAAGTCTGGCACTGGAATGTTGCACAATCCCTAATCAGATGGTAAAAGACTGATTCGCACTCTGGTAAATTTCAAGGGAAAACCTGGCCTCAGGCATTAGAAGATTTATGAGTGGAGGAATTACCATTGAGTTCAGTGCATTCTTTTATTTTTTTGTTTTTAGGTTCTAACAGAGCCTCACTTGCCCCATATAAACCACCCACACAACATAAGTGTAAGATGGGGCTTACTTAGATATGTTTTGCTTTATGTTGGTGAAGATTTAAAAAATAAAAAATAAAAAGGCTTAACACTTCTCCTCATGCCAGTCCTCATCTTCACATACTATATAGACATTAATGGGTTAACTAATCTACAGTGGTATGTTTTGTATGTCATAAACTGTCCTGGACAGTTTATGTTGTTCCCAGTTTTACCAAATGAGTTACAAATTAAGATCTTTGACATTAAATTTTGCAAAAGATGATTCCTTAATTTGTCCATTAATATGCAAGAAATCTAGTGATTTGATTACATTAACTTTTCCAGTAAAGCTGTTTCTGACCATCCTCTGGACATCCAAAAATAGCGCTTGCCCCTCTGGTCAAATACCATTTCCATCACCTATGCAAAATGTTAAACAAATAAAAACATCTAACTTCAGCTTCCAGTCCAAGTGCACTTTCATACAATGATGCCCCCTTGTGGCAATGCTGTCAAATTACTTCTAACCTTCAAAAAGGGGGGTGCACAGTCACATTTGTTTGTCAGGTTTGTTTTAATTAAAACAAAATTTTGTTTCAAATACATTTGAACTACATCAGAACATCACAAAACTGTCAGTGAAACTTTATGTTGGACATAAATACATTTTAGAGATTCTACACTGATATGAACTTTCAATTGAGGTACAGCATTATGGCAAAACGACTATACAATAACTGATCTGTACAATAACTTTCCCTGGGATAGTAAGGCATATACATATACAACAACTATACACAACTATGATGTGAGGCCTGAAATATAAGACAAAGTCCTGCCGGTCAGTTTTCCTGTTGGAATTATCTTTTCAGTTGCCTCCTCGGCAGACAGTTTTGAGTGCAGTGCTGAGCCTCTACTTCTCATTCATCGTAATGGAGGGACGACAGGAACTTGTCAACATCTAGGTCATGTGGAAAGGAGTCGAGCAGCTTCTTCTGCTTCTACAAGATAAAGAGACATTTCCGGAGACATTTTTAGAGTACTGTCCCTTAAAAACAAGTCTGCATGATTTCTGGGTTTGCAGTCCTTTGCCAATGCACAAACAACGATGCCTATTTTTTCAGTAACGCGTAATTTACTCATTGTTAAGGACAATTACATCAAATAGGGTCATTATCCAAGTCGGAAAGAGGAAAAAAATAATTATTAATATTTAATAAGAATGGTGGAATGTGTGAATGATAGCTGCCTATTGTTGGTGTAATAAATTAGATCAGAAGTGATACCCAGTAAATCCATTTATTCTCATCACCCTTTGCATCTTTGAAAGTTTATGCAACTATAAGGATAAACAAAATTTCTAGTAATTCAGTTGTTTAGGTAGTAGAACACAAGGGGGGAGTGTGTTATCATGAACAACATCACAGCTGCAATACGGTCACAGTAGATCACAGCCGTGATATTATTTGCAATAACACACAATCTTGAGATGTTCCATTGTTTTATACAACACTTCTGCAAAATAAAGGAAAAAGTAAAACAAAAGCCCTGAACATTATATCAAATATGCTTTTGTATGGACAATTTCTTCCATCAAAAACTAGCTTCCTTTTGCATTACAGATAAAGACAGTGCTGCGCTTTTTCAGTATTTACCAGATTAACTTGAATGTTGTTTTTGTTCCTGCCAGTCTGTAAAACATTTCACAGACCGTCTTGTACGCAAGATCGTATTTTGCTGGTTTGTTTAGTTGTTGTGACATCACAGCTACTGATCGAAAAGATTCAACAACAGGTTTAGAATTTTCTTAAGTGCTAAAGTAGAAAATTCGTAAACGTTGTCTGCAGTGTGAAGTGAGTTGCTACTTGAGTTGCTACACCAACTGGTGCTCAGCAGAACGATACAGTAATTGTGGGGAAAAAAAGAGCTGTTATCACAAATAATAGAGCACGTAGAATGCTTCTTAACCAGATGGTCGGAACTATAAAATCTGAAATTGTATAAAATGTTATAATGCATTTTCCTTAAAATTACACTTGGTAACATAACTTCTTAGTTGAAAGTAAATACATACACCCGCACAGTGATACACAGGGTTTTTTTTTCAATTGTGAGAAAATATGTGATGAGAACAAAGATTTCTGAAATCTGAACTGCAGAATTATGAAGACATCATGTTGGCAACTCCAATATGTTGTCAAGTCCATAACACATATATGTTAAATTTGTTGCATTCTCAATATTCTATAAGTATTCTGCATCCAATACCCAATTCATCACACAAGAACATGGATTGTGTGGTGGGTGATAGTTGGACCTCTGGAACTGATTCTTTTGCAGCAAACAAACACAAATTCCACTTACCTTAGCTTTCTTCTTGCTGCCGGATGATCCTGAAAGCGGTAGTTCTTTCTTTGTTGTAGGGCTTGGTTCTGTGTGTTTGCGTTTCTTCCCTTTGAAAGCACTGGATTTAGCTGCGGCAGCCTCCTCCTGGCGCAAGCTGTCTTTTAAAGGCCCTCCTGTTCTGGCTGCACGAGACAGTATCATGAGGGTATGGGCGGCCATGTTGATGCTGTTCTCACTCCCTGCCTCACTGGCTGGGCTGCATGATGGAATATCAGGTGTGGCAGGAGGAACCAGATGTTTCGGGGTGCCTTCTGCTTCCCGTCCGAGCCTCTGCTTTGAGGGAGTCCTCAAACCATCCAGGTAGTCCTCCTGGAGGCGACCTAATCCAGGCGTTCTTGGAAGTGGAAGGTCCGAGCAGCCAACTCCTTTTCTCCTGGGCGTGGTGGCAGTAGGACTTTGGCTCTGAATGTCCTGCAGCATCTCTGCTGCCTGCTTGGTAAGTGGGCTGGTCTTGCAAATAGGTTTACCAGACACACCCTGAGATGCAGGTGTAGAGGGTCTTACTGTAGAAGACACAAAATTTTCCGCTGTTGCCTGATGCAGCTCTCGCCTTCCTACTTCGTTTTCCTTGTTCGCAGTGATGCCGGGTGAGTCCTGTGAGGAGCTGCTCTCAGAAGGTACCTCTGGGGTATTTGGGGGCCTTCTTTCATGTGATTCCTCTTGTGAAGTGTTTTTCATGACTGTACTTGACTTGTGCCTTATAGACTGAGGTGAAGACTTTAAACTCTGTGCCGTGTCTGCTGATACAGTCGGACCATCTTCTGTATTTGATGTGAGCTGTGATCTTTGTCTTGACTCTGATCTAACAGATGGATCTTGCTGAGTGGCACTGGTTGAGGAAGTGCTGATATTAGCAGCCATATCAGTTCCCATTTCTTTCTCCGCACTTTTTTTAGGCTCTGTTTGCTGCTGATGTACAGAAGCCTTCTCCTTTGTCCCCAAACTGTGACTTGGCTCTGGTGATCTTACTGTCTCTACCCTCTTCTTGGCACCACTGCTGGCCAAAAGAGAAGGCTGGATCCGATCTGTCCTTGTGCGCTCTTTTACTCCAGGGGAAGCTGTAGCAGTAGTGGTATTGCTTGTTTTATTAGTCTGGTCAGTGTTCTCATCAAAGCAAAGTATTCTCCGATGTCCAGGGCTCACTCCAGTACTGCTCTTTAGCTGCTCTAAGCTTTGAGAGGGGTTTGAAACTTGCCCAGATCCAGGTGTTACAACCTTGCCTGAAAAGTATGAAGGTTCTACCTTTTAATACCTTCTATACATTAGAGTAATTGGGGGATGGGGGGGTGTATACTTCAGAAAAGCATTATTGTCTTAAGCATCTATGTTAGAAAACAAATATGCTTGCTTTAACATGGTACATTTCTCTATTTCTTGTTTTGGAAATCTCTAAATGCCTTACCTAGCTCCACATTGTCCTTAGGCAAAAGTTTAGATTTTGATACAACTTTTGCAGGCTGGTTCATAAGTGTCGGACCAGGCAAAGCCAACATCTGTAAAACAAAACGTTAATCCAGTTCACTTCCTT